AAACCCGGCCAAAATATAGAAATTTAAAGTAAAAATGATTAAAAATACATGCTTTTTATATAGAAAAACTACAAAATTAAAAAGGAAGTACTTAGAATCAAAATTAAGGGCTCAAATTTTCAGGGAATTTTTTTTTCAACCTAAAAACCGAAATTTTCATGTGTCAGCAAGAAAAAAAAAATTTCGTTTTAAATGAAACACCCTAATGAACATTTTTAGTCAAAAAACACTAAAACTAAATATTATGATTTTTTTCACTTTTCAAAGCTTTCAAATATACGAATTTTTAAATTGAAAAAAAATAATTCTGGGATAGATTTTGTAGGAAATTTTATGCTCTACAAGAATCCGCGACGTAAAAATTTTTATCTAAAACGGTTCAAAAGTTATATTTTTTTTAATGAAAAAAGATTTTTTTACGTGTTATTTCAATGGAAAACTTAGAATGTTCACCGACACCTTTTAAAATTGAGCAAAAAATTTTTCCTTGCAGGAAAATTTTTTGCTCGGTATGTAGGTTCATTTTAACCCATAAATCCGATAGGTTAGTTTTTTTGGCTCACCCTAATACACATAGTAAACATAGTAGACTAACGCTGGTATTAATTGCAAAATTTCACATTTAAACTTAACAAAGATACTAGAGATTTTCCTTAGATGCGCAGAATTCCCCCACCTTCCCCTACATATGTCATTTGGTTAAAAAGTGTATTTTTATGCTTTGCTCAATTGAGCTTAGCACAAGAATACTCACTTCTCAGCCTAAATATATTATTAACCACTTTGACTTCAGATAATTAAAAAGCAATCTTTAATTAATCTATAATGATCATAATCCAGAAATAGATTTTTAGGCGCTTATGTCACTTTCCTCAAAGCGCGTAACATTATAATACAATATTAATTATTATAAGAGTTAAGATCTCCACGTCGGCAAATTCACAAATTTTTTAACAAACTTCGGAATTACCAAAAAATTTAAATTAACTAAAGTTTTTATTAAATGATGAGAAATAAATAAAATATAAAAGTATCAAAATCCAAAGGTAATTTTTTTCTAATTTATTGTTTTATGGTCATTTTGATTTGGGAACTAGTTAATGCCCTTTTTACAAGTTTCATTCAAATTTAATTTAATTTGTTTAAATGAAAATAAAAAATGAAAAAGCAATAGCTGCAGGTTATTGATATATAGGTACAAAAATTAATATTTTTACATTAAATTTTATATTTCTTTTACACGTGTCTGTTAAATTTAAATTACTTACCACTATAATATTAATTTTTGGATTTATTTTAATATTTTTTACATTTATTAATCTAGGTAATACAATAATTGTTATTAAAATATTAATTCTTGCTGGGGCAATTTTATACATCCACTAAGGGGGGGCGATAATAGAAAAAGCTACAGTATTGCAACCGAAGTTTTAGTCAAAAAATCATGTATCGAAAACTAATAAAGATACGATTATGCTACTTTCACAAAACGATTTATTATAAAAATATCTTTTTTTTTAATGTCCTATACATTGTTTTGCTAAAACTAAATAATTTGCTTTAAAAGGGAATTTTCGAAAAAAAATTCCCAATCGTTTTCTGATTTTAATAATTTTTTATGGGGACACGTGCACCATAAGCCCACACATTGTTGCCAAATTTCAATTCGCAATCTATTATAGGTAAATAACTTTGTTTGGCAAATCGATCTAGAAGAACGTAGTTTACCTTGACTGTGTTTATACTTTAATACTAATAATATACCAAAGTGAAAACTTCTCGTCACTCTGTTTTGTTACAGATGTGTTCCTTACCAGGCACCGACAGAGATTGCCAGGTCAAAAAATTCGAAATCACCAGATGGGCTTGTTAAAAATCACCAGATCCTTAAAAAAATCACCAGATTTTGATAAAGTTTAGTTATTATTTAATGACAAATATTAGGTACTATAAATTAAACAGACTTTTTATAGTCGATTGAGACTGATGTGCGTTTTAATTTTTCACATGTTTTGTACGTGCCTGATGTTTTCGTACAGCAGCTACACTTCCCAAATAATTATCCCCACATGCTTTGGGGATTAATTCCTTTCTTGCTGGGACCTATCCACTTCTTATACTCTGGATGGCTCTTCCAACTTGTTTGGTACTTATGAAGATAATTTATTTTTCGTTTTTTTGCTGGAATTTCTTTGTCTACCTAATCTGAACTTAAAGAATCTAGTGTAGATCTATCTTGGTAACTCTAGTCTAGGAACATAACCAACAGTTGGTTACCAACTCTTGTTAGCCCCCTGCAAGTTGCATCAAGTTAAACTTAATTAGACAACCAAGTTTACTTGTCTGCTCATTTAAATCTGAGATTTTTTTATTTATTACAAATTTTGAACTAACGCTAAATAAATTTAGCGCGGTATTTTTAAATATTTAATTTTTGTTTGCTACAGTTGAATCGGTGAGATTAAGAACCGTACAAGTCCAAAAAATTTGACAAATTATTTTATAAAATCAGTTTTATAGTTCAAAATGCATTTTTGTGAAATTATTTTAACTATCTACTTTATAAAATATAATAATCATATTTTATAAAATAATATAAATCTTCTCACAATAATTCATTTTAAACTTTTAAATTGATTTTAGAAAATAATTTTTCGACATAAATATTTTGGACTTTTCTTAATCTCACTGGTTCAATTACAAAGTAGGAACTTTGGTAGATATTATGTTCAAAAAAATAAAAATAGTATTAAAATTAAAATTATTTTATTTACAACATGTAAACAAATAAAAAACAGGAACAAAAATAGAATTTAAAACACAAATAATTTATAGACAAAAATAGAAAGAAAAATAATGTAAAAATATCAAAATATTAATTATATTAAAATATAAAATAAACATATGTGTATACTCACATATTTTAAAGCAAAAATTTAATTAACAACACAAAAAAACACTCTAAAATACTAATCGAATTAAATTAAAGAAAAAATAATTTTATCACACAAACATATTTTAATTTACTTACTTTGACCTTAAATAATGTCATTTTACAACAATTGACAATATGCTAAATATAACAAGGTATAATAACTTATAAATAAAACTTATAAACAAAACCACAGAAGCACTTTTAGTATTTACTGACAGCAGACTGACAGACGACAGTAAATGACAGTTAAAGAACATAATTGCGCCTTTTTAGTGCAGGGCAGCCAACAAATGCGCAGAAACCGATTTACATTGAAATCTGTGTGCAGCCCTGCTTATCTAAATTGTTGACCGAAATTCCTATTTAAATAATCGTTTTTTGGACACAGTGGCAGTAGCCGTGTGTTGTTGAACACATTGGCAGGATAAACGATAGCGGTGGTTAGCAAAGGTTATCAGCACCATCTACCGTCCAAAGGACGTGGCTTGTCTATGTGTATTGGTAGACCGCATGTTGACATCATAGATGGAGAACAACTTCAGCGACAAAAAGAGTGTATCCCGCCAAAAACCGTGCCTAACAGAGTTAATCTATCAAACAGGATTATACTTGATAAAAATATACCAAAGTAAAAACATATCCCATACTGCAGTAAGCACAAGCTAACCGGCCCGCATACAGCCCGAATACTTTTTCCGCCTGGCCGAATGCCGACTATGTTTACTCGGCCGAGTGTCGGCTGTGTATAGTTGGCCGACTGCCGGCCACAAACGCCTGGCCATTCAAAAAAGACTACAGACGTTCTGGTGAGGTATATCATATAAGTTCAGTCGTGAAATTCTCTGAATGGCAAGATACTTTTTTAACACACTCGGCTAGCTAGACATTATTCGTTACTGAGCAGATGAGGATGTAGATGGGGACTCCAAACAATTAATGTTCAGCTATGCCATTACGGACGCACACTTCCAACTAAATATTGCAACCAACCGCTATTTCCAGTTACCTCTCGTGCGTAAGCAGCCGTGAGATGTATCGTTTATGCCGCGGCAGGCCGTATTCCAGCCGTAAGCGGGCCAGCCAGGGCAAGCCGAAGGATTTTGCAGAGGTAAGCCGTATTCTACGACTTCGGTTGGAACATGGCTAAAAGGTACCGGGGTAACATAACGCGGGCCGGCTGGGGCAAGCCGAACCGCCGGTCAACCGCCTATGCCGAGCGAAGGCCGATTGTTTGCCGAGTGTTTGGTGCTTACTGGGATAGCGTCACTTTGAGCTTTGTTATTTATGCTTTTTGTTTATTTAACTTCTATTAAAATTATTTTCTTTAGTTTTTTATTTTTTACTATCTTATTTGCAACAAAATGCTTTAATTTGCTATTTGTAACGAAAAATTTGAATAAATAATTATAAAAATTATTTTGCGTATTCCTTAAACATTAAACAATTAAAAAGTATTTGGTAAGTACTCTTAAATATAATTTTTGAAGAGCTTTTTAATGATGTAACACAAAAGGAGTTGTTGACATTAAAAAAAAATTGAGTTTGGGTAGCTACAGCCCTTGAGGTTGCTAAGTAAAGGTCATTTTTGTTGTCATACTTATTCCCCCACATACATAGCTAGAAACAGTTTTAAGAAATTTTTAATACCTATCTATTTTAAGCCCTAACTTATAGAGCATTGCTCGTTTTTAAATAGACACCCTGTAAGTTATGAGCTTAAATAGTAAATTTAAAACAAACAACTTTAAAAATATTGCTTAGAAACAAGTATTAGGATTTTTTAAAAATGTACAAAAAGTTATAAAAATATTTAACAAAGTTAACAATTAAATTGCTTTTGAATAGGTATTTATAAATTAAAATAATAAAAAGCCCCCTATACCTTAAAAACAAAGTTTAATATTCTACCTATATAATATTTACTAACTAATAAGTAATAAAAAAAATAATTATAACTACTGACCTCAGTGACGTCTTGTCCATTTAAAAAACTAATTAATTTTCACACTACTTTTTCCTAGTTTTCCCCTACTTAGATCGTCCGCAAATAACCATGAATATCTATATAAACATAACGACTAAATGGATTAGGCAGTGGTTGAATTTAATATTAACCTATAAAAATGAAGTTCTTTTCGTGCCTTCTCTTGGTTGCATTGTTTTGCTTAGCATTTTCAAAGCCTCAAGACAAATACACTACCAAGTATGATAATATCGATTTAGATGAAATTTTAAAAAGTGACCGACTTTTAAGAAATTATATTAATTGTTTAATGGAAACAGGAAAATGTACTCCTGATGGATTAGAACTTAAAAGTAAGTTTATTTTTATACTATCCACCAAAAAATATATATTTAATAATGATAACAAATTTTGGCCAATTTTATTTTTTTAAAGATAATAATAATAATAATGTCTTTATTGATTGTAAAAAACTTATTACAAACAAAAAGCAAAGTTCAGTACCCTACACTAGGTAGTTCACTGCTCTTCCTAGATATATTTTTATCTAGGTTCTCCTATTGCATAATATTGTTTTTTCGGTGAATAATAATAAACATTATAAATTTCCTGCTTAATAATGGAATAATAAACTCATTACTTGCGTTGTTTTAAGTTGCTTATAAGCATCAGCGATTGGCCGATTCCAATATTTACTGTTATTTGAACCAATCAGATATTAAAATAGCAAGGCGACTATAATACCATTTAAAATTGGTAAAAAGTGAGATTAACCATTTGACAGATGTCAGATTTTATTTATTTGTTTTTTTTAACCATTCAATTATCTATTTATTGGAGTTTATAGAGTATATTGTTACACTCGAGATTATGGGCACTTGGATGATTTAAGTCTCTCGTCTAGCGACTCGAGACGCAAACCTCATCTTCATGAATAATAGCCTGCATTACGTCTCGTATAATAATATACTATTAATATTTCTTCACCACGATATCAAAATTATTATTATTTTTATGAGGTCATAAAACACCATATCTTTACTTTTTAAATCCTTATTAATTCTTTTCCAAATAACCATATCCATATCTTCTATAATAATAATATTCTATAAAATTGAGAGAAAGTGAGGTTATAATAAACTTAATAATTAATAAACTTTGTTCCTTATAAAAATTACTTAAAAGTAGAAAAATAATTAAATCATGGTGTATTTTTGGCTGAGCTTAGCTCCTTTGCTCTTTAGGCCTAATGCCAAATTTTGATAAATAGAAAAATAGTATAATCAACTTATATCTTTAGACTCACTTGTTAATTTTAAAACTTTTTCCTTTTAGCTCGTTTTGTAAATTGTCCTCATGCGAAAAAATGACGTCTTTTGACATTAGTTCTTTAATATACTATAATAATTATGGTATAGGAGATAACAATCTATTTGATGCAACTTAAGTTGAATTATAATCTCCAAAACTTCATAATATATTATAATATATTATATGAAATATATTAAAGCATTTTTAAAAAAATCAAGTATTACAGATTTTATACCATTTCTATTTTTTTTTAAATTTAGTAAAAGAAATAATAACAATTTAAAATGGTATAAAACCTGTAATACTTGAATTTTTTTAATAAAATTTGAAATATGTCGATAAACTTCAGTGAATTAAATATTGTACCACTTTAATTTGAATTATCTTAATTTGGGTGGGCAGGGGGCTGGGGCACACTTAAAAACTAACTTTTTGCAAACTTCAATTTAAATTCTGCTTGTGCAGAACTTGTATATATGTCATTATAAACTCATATAAATTTGATGTGGGTTCCATGTCTAATAACTGAGATATGGGTGTGCCCAAAATTCACCAGCCGCCTACGGGCACTCCTGGCATTAGGTTTTTAAAAATCTGTCGAATTATTTTTTATTTATTATCACTTGTAGGTAATATTACTACTGAAAATAATTGACAAAACTCAAAATTTCCCTTTCCACAGTAAGTTTTTCTGTAATTTAACATTTCAAGTTTATATTAAAATGTAACCATTGTCATCACTTTTTTTTAAAGCCATTTTTTTTAATTTACCTAAAACTATTAAAGCTTAACAAAAAAATACAAATTGTAAAAATTATTACACTGATACATTTAGTACTTTAAATTTATTAGTAAATATTTTTTTTACAAAAGTAAGAACGGATAGAATTCTCTTAAGGAGATTTGGGCATGATATTAGTCTTCGCTATGAGAAAATATTGAAAAAAGTTTAGGTTGTAGAAGAGTCTACTTAAAAAGATATTTACAAAGTTTTAGATGGTTTCCGAGAATAAAATTATTTTTGCTAAGACTACATGGGCTGTTATGGTTTATTATCGCTAAAATCTGTTGTGAATGTTAACAAAAATTTATATGCTACTTCTACAGGTAGTAAGTGCTCACTCGAGTTAAAAAAATCATCGATTTCTTATTGTCATGTTATAAAATATGCGTTAATTAAATACATCTCCTATATAGCCTGTCTTTAATTAATGCATATCTTATAACATGATTTTTTATTATCTTATGCACTTATGAATGTGGAAATGTCATATAAATTTTTGTTAACTTTTACCTCAATAAACGTTGACTGTGTCAAATAATCAATTTTTTATTCTCGTCTTGAAGATCCGGCAACACTGGTTTACGAGTTGTGTTTTTAAAATAAATTATTAAAAAAGATTCAATTGTATTAAGTTGTATTTGTTTAATAATTTGACAATCCTTCTACCTTTTAAGTACTTTAGCTATTTTTAACTTTAACTGCATGTTTTATGTTGCTTTATTTTGTCTCCACATACCTTTATTAAATATTTTTTTCTTTGTAGTAAACTTTATTCGTTTTACAACTCATTTTTAGATTTTAAATAAAACTGCATAATATATTAATTAACTATTATCACTGCCACTATCAGAAGTAAAAATATATAAAATTAGTTAAAAAATTGTGTTTTTTAAATCAAATGTAATAAAATAAAAAAATAAATTTTGTTTTTGCAAGTTGCTATTTATGTATAGTTTTATTAAAAAATTTTTTTCAAAAATTTTTATTTTTTGTTTTGTTTTTTCAATATAAAATATGCAAAAAATCAAGTTTTAAAAAATAAGGTTTAAAATTTTAAGAGATTCTGCAAGTCGCTGAGCCAACAAAAATTAATCTGCCCAAAAAGGCTGAAATTTAAGAATATGTCAATATAATAGTATTTTTTGTATTAAAATAATGGTTATTATTATATCTTTAAAATTTTTGAATTTCCCACTTAACATCACATTATCCGATTTTTATACTAACCAATTATTATTTTTTATAGAAGTCTTGCCTGGTGCTCTTCAAAACGACTGTGAAAAATGCAGCGACAAACAAAAAGAAGGTGCCAAAAAAGTCCTAAAGTACTTGGTCAAAAATAAAAGAGAGTGGTTTGATGAAGTTAGTAGCAAATATGATACAGATGGTTTATATAAGAAAAGATACCAAGAGGAATATGCACATGAAGGAATTGTATTTTAAATTAAAGATGATTTTATATGATCTGACAAATTTAGTTTTGTAAACACCAAAGGATATACGTAATATAATAAAAATATATAGAGCTTTATTATTATTTTTAATTAAACATACGGTAAATTGATTAGCTAAAAAATTAATACTTTAATAATAGTGTTTGTTTTATGCTAAAAAAGTTAATAATTTATTATTTTTAGTTTTAAACTTATCTAGAATGGAAATACATTTTTTTAATCATGAGTCTTAACTCGCAAACAATGCCTTAGTTATGTTATATGTGACAGGAAGTTTAATTAAACAACCTTTTTCATAATTTCTCTTTTCTTTTGTTATGTGTGTCCCTTGTTATTATTTAATATTTTTTTAATACAAAAATATATTTATTAGTAAAGTACAGTTTAGTAATGAGTCGCACATGTGTAAGTAGTACAAAATGTACGAAACTACTGTGTGTGTGGACTCCATACTGTGGAGGCTCCACTGTGGAGCTGGTACTACAGAGTCTTTTTAAATGTGCTCCCAGCACATAGCCCTCACCGTGCGCTGAAACGGCACCATAAAAAACCTCGACCACTGATCTTTCTCTAGTAAATAATCTCTACACGTCTATGACTTTGACTCTTTGTTCAGTTTCAATTATTATTATTATTACCAGCCGGCGTAAAAACAACCAACAAACACAGGTAATGTGGTGCAGTGGCGGGATACGTAGGAGAACGGAAAGGGGGTAAAATAACCCTGGGAGATTAGTGTAAGGTAATGTCGATGGGGCCTGCCATACGTCCCCATACTCATACTCATACTTATGTAGAATGTTGTATACCCTTTTATTTGATTTCATTAAAAGCCTGTATTAATTTTTTTTCGCTTCAACCTATTGATTGGACCTTTTAATGAAAGCATTAAAATATTCTAGTTTAAATATTCCAGGTGGTCTGCCCGAGCTGATGTAACGAAGCTTTTTTGTGGTTTCACCAAAATTATACAAGTTTTGGATGACATACCTCATAACAAGGATCAAAAGGTGTAGTAATCAAGCTTACGGACTAGTTTCAAACGATTTAGAAACGGCAATAATGATGAATATGAATCACTTAGCTACAAGCTCGTATACTTTTACGGTGCGTATCACAGACAAAATAGACTTGCCTTAGGGAGAAAATGATACGGCCGGGCGGGTGCCTGAACGGGTGCCTGTTTTCCAGCCAATTCCAACCAAATTCCTTTTTCCAGTAAGTAGTAATTACGAGATAAATTTTAAGCGATTTTATTAATTTTGCATGTCAATACCTTGCGTGTGCACACAGATGTTGTGTTGTTCTCTCCTTTGCACAGAGCCGTACGTCGTTCATTCTGGAGCGTAAAACTAGATGAATTTCTTTGATAATCCACTAGGAATATTTAAAATTAAATATAATATTAAAATAATACTTTTTTCACTTTTAGTGGAAATTTATTCCATTTGGAGTTATTTATTCTGACTTTTTAGCGAAATTGGTCTGTTTTGTTCAGTTTTTTATTTTAAGAGCTTAATTTGCCTTTTTTATTAGAGAATTTATAATTTATTCTATTTTTTTTTTATTTTTTTTTATTAGGGATTTGTTTAAATACATAATTTATTTAATTATTATTACGTTTTTTCGTGTTTAAAATCTATCACGAATTTATGTACTTACAAATATATAAATGTAAAACAAAATAAATTTAATACTTTTTAAAAAGATACCGCTCGTACGAAATTATTTAATACGGGCCTGGCAGAATACATATCTTCTCTTATACATTCCCTTGCCCCGCTCCCCGATTTATGGCACGCTGGTTTCATGTAAGCGAAACTGAACAGGGCAAGTCTATTTTGTCTGTGGTGCGTATAATCTAAAATTTTTGACAATATTGTACCACGACAACTACCTTAAAGTATTTTAACACGTGTTTGGTATTTTTATTATACACTGCTTATAGAAATTATCAAAAAGCATATTTAAATGACAAATCGTTTTTTGCGGTTTAATATTTGTTGATATTACTTAACAACAAGAAGAAAAAATTCTAAATGTTCTGACGTCAGGCTCGATGTTCTCAGTTTTCATTAAATTTTCCAATATTACATGTAGTACTGGAACATTTAATGAAAACTGAGAACATCGAGCCTTAATAACGCTTCATAAGCATAATAGCTTGACACCGCTGAAACACGCTTCAAACGAGATGTCTTAGCGCATCTTGTGAAAGGTTTTCACAATGGGGAATTCCCATTCTTTCACAAGAGCCTCGGCCAACTGTGGTATGGTTAGACCTAAAGCAGAACGCTTTCTTATACGCCTCAAGATCCGAACTCATTGCAGGTCACTCCATCATCTGGATCTCTTGCTCCCGGAGGATGTTCCTTGTGAGATTTGCCGTATGAATTCTAGAATTATTGTCCTGTTGTAGAATGAATCCACCTCCGACATTGTGGGAAAAATAAAGAACATAATATTGCAGGAAGACATAGACACACATTCTGGCGTTTAAACGTTGGGAAACGACGACCAAGGCGGTGCACCCTTCTATACTTATCTCACCCCAAACTGAGTCACCCCTAAACCTGTCCATTTCTTGTTCAGTTGCCTAATATTAGGTTCCTTTAATCGACTTATGACAGTTTAATCAGAAATCTCCATACCCTCCGGTTGCATTTAGAAGAAGGTTTTGTAGCTCTCGGGCAGTGGCAGTGCCTCGAAGAATATGTAAGGATGTACCTTTCATCCTAAGTTTTTTTTGTCAATAGCCTTGTCCAGCTCTCCTGTAGCTACCAGTTGTTTAATATATGTGCCAAAGTCTGCAGCTGGACTAGCCAGTAGTTCACTTAATACGTAGCGCATAGAAACTCCATTTGCAAGCAACGGCCGACCGCGGCCCTTGCTACCTGGACTTCGCTAAGAAAACGCATTGTATATTATAATTGTAATATTCAATAGCAGCAAAAACTAAGAACTGTACCAAAAACAGAGTATTTTTGGCCATTAAAAAGAAAACATCAGTTTTTAATAGTGCTGTAACCCTGATAATTATTAAAAAAAGATTTAATTTTTCTCTTCTTGTTACATTACTTTTCCCCTGGTGGGGGCTGCAGGACCTTGACGCTGGTCCGGGGGCTAAGCTTCGAGGCCAATGGTTCGGGTTGCGGTTGAGAGATGGGCGAATGAGCAACCCTATAAACGGGCTCTGCTGTAAATGCTAGGGAGTCCCTATAAACGGGCTCCTCCCATGAAAGGCAGGAATGAATGAGGCAACCCGCGCCGGTCTCAATGGCGACGAAAAAGCAGCCCACCAATGGAATTGCGCGCACTTTTCCATTGGGTGGTACTCCTTCGGGAGTATCCTATGCGCCCCAATCCAAGGTGTGCAGTGTACCGTGCCGAGGGATGCATGGCACCGGGGATGCGGTGTCTCTAACGGTCCCTGCAGGATACCGGGCGACCTCCTGCAGTAGCCATCGAGGCTCTTGAGTCTCGGTGGCAAGCCTAACCCAGGCAAGAGGGAGCTTGGTGTGGTCTACCTGAACCTCAATTACTCGTGGGATTTATATGGATAAACCAAATAAAAACCAACGGCAGGGGCCAGTACCCGCCGAGAAAGCACCTAAACCAACTCAGTCGGTGGAAACATTGAGTGAGGTGGGTAAGGACGAGCCTTCTGGCGTTCGCAAGAACCAGGAAGGTGAAAGCAACCTTATGCAGATGCATAAGATGAAGCTTGCTGAGGGGGGAAGGGACGGGCCTGACCTGCCCTCCTCTCCCCAGCAAAACATTCCTCATACTAAGGAAACGGAGTTGTCGGTAACTCAGGCGGGGCCTGTACCTGCTGGGTCCGATCCGATACCTTCGACTTCGACAGTCTTGTCGATGGAGGTGGTGGAGGAAGGCAACTCTGTTAACTCAGATGGTTTGAAGAGCAGGGGAGCTCAAAAGCGAAAGCAGGCCTGGAAAACATATATGAGGGAGAAGGAGGAGGCTGAAAGGAAGGGGCTTCCCCCTCCTAACCCTCCTCCAAAGAGGAAGAATGGTTCCAAGAGGAAGAAGGAGAAGAAGGCCGTGGCTGAGGCTAGTACTCGCCTGGCTGACGCTCCGGAAGCCTCTGGAAGCCAAACTACGGCCAAGAGGAAGATGGAGACTAGCGTCTCCGACCCCTCGGTGAAGCCGGCCACTAAAAAGGTACGGCAGGGGCCTAACCCCGTCGGACAGCGAGGACCGGCATTTGCAGCTCTTGCTTCGAGCCTTCCAAAGGTGTTAGTCACTGTTGGTGAGACTCTTGGCGAGAAGCTGCCTATGTCGGTCTTCGATGAAATCAAGGGCTGTGTCCTGAACCAAATCCTGGAATTAACGGGAGAGGGAGTGATCCCGAAGTTCAAGGATACGGTCCTACAACATGGAAAGGTGATCTTCGTCTGCGAGGACGAGGACACTGAAAAGTGGCTTCGAGAGGTGGTACCGTCGTTGAAGCTCTCTGATGGAACTCAGGTGCGGCTTGTACGCCCAGAGGAACTCATTAAGAGAGTTAAAATGACACTTAAGGTGCCGCCCCCGAAACTGGAGCCAGCAAAAGCGCCTCGGCTGTTATGGCCAAGTGCATGTCTATGGTGCGAACACTTCGCACCATAGACATGCAACCCTTCGGGTTGGTGCAAGAGCCATGGCAATACAAGGGCCTCATCCGAGGTCTTGGTGCGGCTGGGTCAGTTCATGCATGTGGAGAAGAACCCAGGGCTTGTGTGATTGTAAGGGGCGCGAATGCAGCCTTTTTACAAGAATTTTCCACAAGAGACCTGGCTGTTGTCAAGCTTGCTAAAAGTGGAACTGATGGGCAGGGTGGCAGGCAGATTGTTTTGGCATCTGCCTATTTCGCCCATGATAGGGAGACACCCCCAGAAGAGGTGAGAAAACTGGTAAGGTTCTGTAAAGAGAAAGGCTTTGATCTGCTGGTTGGGTGTGACGCCAACGCCCACAGCCGGGTGTGGGGGTCCACTGATACCAACCAGAGGGGAGAAGAGCTACTTGACTACTTAATAGAGGCAAACTTAGATATTCTAAACGAGGGCGATGAACCAACGTTTGTCACGGTTAACAGAAGGGAGGTTCTAGATCTCACCTTATGTAACCCACATCTGTCAAAGAGGGTCGGGTCTTGGAGAGTCTCCACAGAACCCACCCTGTCAGACCACAGACTCATAAGATTAACTCTGCAAGGAGTGGAATCTAGAGCAGTGTGGTGTAGGAATCCAAAGAACACAGACTGGTCGATGTTTAATGAAGAACTCCGATCGCGGTTCGTGGGCTTTAGGGGTAGATATGGCAGTCCCGTAGATCTAGACCGTTGTGAACGTGAGATCAGAACGGCGATCACGGCTGCTTACGAGAAAAGCTGTCCGCTAAAGAAGGTGCACACCGAGCGGCGTAAGCTTAGGTGGAGCAAAGAGCTTTCGGATAGAAGGCAGCTGACACGCAAGCTCTTCAATAGGGCTAAAAAAGTTAACACGATGGCAGCTTGGGAAGCACATCGAGAAAGCCAGAGTATCTATAATCATCTGATTAAGGATGCTCGAAGAGAATCGTGGAGAGACATGTGCTCACAAACAAGCACCATGTCAGACACGGCAAAGCTAGCTAAGGTTTTAGCTGGCACGCGGGGTGAGGACCTTAGGTTCCTTAAAAAGGATGATGGAGGGTATACTCAGACACCGGTAGAAACGCTTAGGCTGCTGATGAAGAGCAACTACCCGGACTTTTCGGAGGGACCTGTGGCGGGGAAGTATACCCGCCGGGTAAGCTCGGAAAGGTGTTGGGGGCTGGCAGCCAAAGTGGTTGATGCGAGGAAGGTTAAGGCTGCTGTGGAATCTTTTGAGCTCTACAAATCGCCTGGTCCCGACGGTATCTACCCGGTTGTCCTAAGAGAGAGCCTGGAGGTGGCGTTGGGTGCGCTGGTGGGGCTCTTTAGAGGGTGCATAGCGGTCGGACACACCCCGGAAGAATGGCGCAAAGCCAAAGTTGTATTTATCCCAAAAGGAGGCAAAAAAGGTTATACAAGTATAAAGGACTTCAGACCAATAAGTCTTACGTCCTTTCTCCTGAAAACTCTAGAGAAACTGATCGACAGGTTTCTGAGAGCGGGTCCTTTGAAAGGCTTGCCCTTTCACAAGGAACAACACGCTTATCAGAAGGGTAGATCCGTGGACACGGCACTTTTATTGGTTTGCAACTACATAGAAGAGGAACTGGAATGGAAGGGCGTTTGCATAGGCGCCTTTCTAGACATTGAGGGGGCGTTTAATCGCACCTCAAAAAACGCCATACGGCGAGGTGCAGAGGAACATGGAGTGCCCGAGGGCATTATCAAATGGATAATGTCAGCACTATCGGGTAGAATTCTCAGCACTAGCTGGCAAGGTCAACAATTGGAAGGCAATGTGTCAGAAGGATGTCCGCAGGGCGGAGTTTTATCCCCACTACTGTGGTGCTTGGTTGTAGACAGCTTGTTAAAGCTGCTAAACAAAGACGGCATACGGGCTATTGGTTATGCAGATGACATTTGTCTCCTGGTCAGAGGCCCACATGAGGAAACACTTAGGGACCTAATCCAAGGGGCTCTTAAAAAGGTACTGAGGTGGTGTGCTGAGAAGGGACTTAGTATACAGGCCCAAAAGACAGCGGTCGTAAGGTTTGCGAGGAAATACAAACTCAAAAAACTGGCAAACGTTACGATCGGTCAGCTGCAGATTCCCTTTTCTGAAGAGACCAAATATCTGGGAGTCATCCTAGATGAAAGCTCTTATGGGGGAAACACTTGCAGAATAAATGCCAAAAGGCAATGATCACCTTCTGGCAGTGTAGAGGGGCCATGGGAGCGAAGTGGGGCCTTGGTCCACAGCAGATGATGTGGATCTACCAGGCAATCATTGTTCCCAGGCTTGTTTATGCAGCACCGGTCTGGTGGAAGCGTACTTTGCTAAAGACCGCTCGCGGAATGCTGGACAAGGTACAAGCAGCTTTTCTCAGAGCTATATGCGCTGTGAGAAGAAGCACCCCGAGCGCAGTGTTAAGAGTCTTACTAGACGTTCCGTCGCTGGCTTTGGAAAGCAAGGCTGCGGCGATGCGAGCGGCTTACAGACTTCACTGTGTGGGTGAATGGAGAGATAGCTTCATACATCTGAAGCTTCAGAGAAGCTGTCCTAAAGAAATATGGAATATGCCGCAGGACAGGATAAAAACCCAGCTAGCTGAAGGGGTGTGTTTCAAGGTACATATCCCCAGTAGAGAGCAGTGGGAGCAAGGCTTTGGCCCAAAACATGGAAGCATTTGGTTCACAGATGGGTCAAAGACGAATGAAGGAGTGGGAGCCGGGTTCTGTGGTCAAAAGTCGGTGGACAGCTTTGTCTACAGACTTGACAGACACAACACGGTCTTCCAGGCGGAAGTTCTCGCCATAAAAGAATGCGCGAGGGTTCTGTCTGAACGAGGTACAGGTGGAGACATCTGGATTTGCTCGGACAGTCAAGCTGCTCTAAAAGCCTTGGTTAATGAGTTTTTCTCATCCAAGCTGATAGAGGAAACCATCCTGGCACTCCAGCGAGTCGCTAGAGGAAATCGGCTCAACCTTGCCTGGATTCCAGGTCATGCCGGATGGAAAGGCAACGAAAGAGCCGATAGATTAGCAAAGGAGGGCACCACTCTATGTGGTCCTCAAGAGAAGGTAGTGGGCATGCCGTTCAGGGAGGGCGTAAACCTCATTAAAGCATGGACAAAGCGCCAACAGGCGAGAGAGTGGCAGCAAAGCCCGGGATGCAACACAGGCAAGACCCTTATGGGCAGCGGTGTAGAAACCTGGTCGGTAGAGCTCCTGAAGCTGAGCAGACCAAAAATAAGGGCTGTTGTGGAAATCGTTTCCGGCCACAACAATCTGAACAAGCACAGATACGTGATAGGAAAGACGACATCTCCACGATGTAAAAGATGCGAGGAGGAGATTGAAGACTCCCAGCACTTTTTGTGCAAATGTGTAGCACTAGCGAGGACCAGATTCGCGGTGTTTGGGCAGACGGAGATCCATCCGGAGCAGGTTAGGGAGCTAAGTGTGGGACAGATATTAGACTTCTGCAAAGAAGGACAAAATCTTCGGCAGCCCTAAGGTAATGCGGGGGGGATAGAATACAAGAGTCTCATCGGCTAGGTGCTCTGAACTGCATAGCCCCTTGAGAGTACATAATTATAATAATACATTACTTTTCCATTCGACTTCATCATTTGAGTAAAATACTAGGCTAGCAAATTTTTCAAAAATTTCAGCGTTGATTCAGGATCAGTTGTCGATGTACGTCCATGACATACCATTCGACTAACCAGTTTTTGATGGTAAAATACGCTGTTGCTCATAATGACTTTAAAGGTACTATTTTGCTTTCACGCTATATTTTCTCCATTAAAGAGAAGTGCTAAATAAAAACACAAAATTCACTTTATTTTATTGCTAAACATTGTTGGAATGCGCTCAAATTTAGAAAGGAATCTAGAAATAAATGTTTAAATAGAAATATTTTTTTAAAATGCACCAAATATTTATTCTGGACATTGAGTTTAGTTTGGATTCGCGATAAAGCAGATTATTTCCCTCATTATAATATGAACCAATCAAAAGCCTTAAATTTTCGAATAAATTTCGTTTAAATAAGCGATTAAATCACTAGAACTATTTAACAGCGATTAAATTTTAGCCTCCATATTGGATTTTTGTTTACGATTTTATGGTGTTATTTACAAGTTTTAACAAACATTTTTTAAAAAACAATAAAAAGTAAGTTATCTAGTTTACGAAATATCAATTATTACTTATTACATACCTTAAATTAATGGAATTTTCTTTAAAAAAATATTTATAAATTTTGACACACGTCAGATTTTATGAATTGTCAAATAGTTTCCTTTCTATAAATTTAATCTGTCAAACTATGCTCAGTAGGTAAGTTTTTTATTTGATTTTTATTTTTGGAAAATATTTTCATGCAAAATAATTAAAAATAAAACCCCTCGACCGCTACGCGGTCTCGTGATTTTATTAAATTATTTTGCATTCAACATTTTCCAAGAAAAACCAAACAAAAAACTACTGAGCCTAGTTTAACCGATTAAATTCATAGTTCTCGTGATATGATATATGAGTAATTTCTTTTCTTTATTTCAAATATTAAACAAATATTTGTTTAAAATAATAAATATAGCTTAAACAATATAAATTCCCTTTTTAATTTAACATCTTCATGATGAACTTAAATATTATTTAAAGTAACATTTTGCAAATTAAATTTACCCTAATAAAAATAAGAAATATTTAATTCTTTTCATAAGAGTTAATTTTTTTAAGAAAATTGTATGTACTATATATTATATTAGTTTTCCTACTAGAAGTTTAAATATGATATAGAAAACTAAATGTTTACTATTGAACTCAAAAAATTTAAATATTTTGGTCATGTTTGTCTTTTTTATAAGGATTTATGTGTTATATATAGGTAATGTTTTTTCAATAAATCCCCCCTTGTTATTTACACATTTACTTATAAATTGCTACACACAAAAATCAATCACATACTATTCGTCTTGAATTAGAATGAAGGTGCAAATGTTTACATTGTTTTTTACGTTGGTTTGTTTAGTCAATAGTAGACCCAATAGTAGCTACACCATTAAATATGATAACGTAAATTTGGACCAAATTTTAAAAAGTGACAGACTAATGATGAATTACATAAACTGTGTTCTAGATAAAGGAAAGTGCACATCTGATGGAGCAGAACTTAAACGTAAGCTAAATTTTGACTACCAGTTTGCAATTGTACAAAAATATTCAAATATAATTTTTATCTTCAAGCGTTCTATACTTTAGGTTTTTTATTGTCAACGCTTACTACCAAAGTATTCGATTATCTCCTAGGCTGTAAAAATAATTTAGACCAATCAGGTGAAGTCTGTAAAAGACCCGTTAGGACCAATAAAAAAATCGATTAACTGCTGACACATCTGAAGCTATCTAGCCGCACTTTATATTTTAAATAATTTTAAGAACGTTTTATGCATCATTTAACACAGGGGTTCCCAAACTTATTCACTTTTCGGAGCACTTACAGGTTTGATTTATTGCCATGGCGCCCCAACAATTTTATTTGAAAAAAAAACAAGGAAATACAAATAAAGCATTAAATATTTTATTTTTCTGATTGGGTGAAGACGGGAGCCTCGCGACGCCCCTGGGCTGCCTTCACAGCGCCCAAGGGCGTCGCGCCGCACACTTTGGGAAGCTCTGGGCCAGGTTCCCAAACTTATTCACTTTGCGGAGCACTTACAGGTTTGATTTATTGCCACGGCACCCCAAACAATTTTATTTGAAAAAAAAAACAAGGAAATACAAATAAAGCATTAAATATTTTGTTTTCCTGATTGGAAGGGGTCAAGACGTGAGCCTCGCGACGCCCCTGGGCTGCCTTCACAGCGCCCAAGGGCGTCGCGCCGCACACTTTGGGAAGCTCTGGTTTAACAAATAAAATTAAATAAAGTTAAAATGTTGTTTGTCGTTCGGCTGAGGCTTGTCTTTTTGTGCTTCGCTCAATTCTAGGCCTCCGCTAATGCGTCGGACTTTAATCTTCGAGTTCAGCACAAACCTATTATGACATAAATAACTATTTAATTGTGATTATTTAAAAAAGGTTAACATTTTTTTTATAATTACATATATGCCATTGCTAATCACTAGTTAGGTTTAAATTTAACATACTTTTTCAAGGACTAGCGCAAGATCTAATTTTTTAATAAAACGCGTCATTTACTCGAAAGGTTAGGTATATACATTTTATCAATATTATAATATATATATATATATATATATATATACAGGGTGTCCCAGAACTCGCGCCACAGAGAAAAAGGGAACGTACCGAAAGTAATTTGAAACACATATTTAAAAATTCAAATTGTCCAACGCAAAGGATAAGGGAGATAAGAATAAAAAACGATAGCCAATCCCAATAGATCACCACAGGGAATTCTTTAAATTGCTAGGATACTTAGGTTGCATTGTTGATAATAAAAAATATGTAAAATATTTGGTCCACTGGAATCCAATTCATTGTAACACTGCTGTCAATCTTTACTCCTGTCATTAATATTATATTAGGTTATAAATTAAGTTATTATTGACAATGCTGTCAATCTTTACTTTTGTCATTAATATTGTATTAGGTTATAAATTAAGTTATTATAAATAATGTTTTCCTTGATGATTATAACGAAATGATAACTATTTATGGGGAGCGTGGGCGCAAAAAAAGCTAAATAAAATACAACTGGTTTGATTTTTTACTTTAAAACATTGGCGTTCTAAAGTATCAGTCATAGATTAATAACCTCATTTTTTGAAAGCTTTGGACAACTTAGTAAATACAGTTGGCCAAAAGATTTTTAAATGTTTTTAAGACAACAATGTTCTATCGTCTCCTAGCAATTTTTAAAGCTCCTACGTTTAACCTAGGCGAGATCTCTCGGTATTGGCTGCCGCTTTTTTGCTCTCATTCGATTACACTATTACCTAGAAATTTTTTATTTTTAAATTTGGCATCTCCATTGCTATCGGCACGCCCCTTTTTTCTCTGTGGCGCGAGTTCTGGGACACCCTGTATATATATATATCGGCCATTTCAAGCGGATGGACGGGACAAATCACAAAACTGTTTTTATAAAAAAAATTGTAGCTAATTTATTATATATTATTTTTGCATCAAAATTGTCAAAAAAATTCTTCTATTATTAGGGTGTACATTAAATAAAAAAAATCGCAAGAAATATTTTATAAAAGTAGAGACAATTTCAATAATTGACAGGGATGGACGGGACAAGATAAATCTTTTTTTGTCCCGTCCACACCTTTCAATTATTAAAATTATATCTACTTTCATAAAATATCTCTTGATTTTTTTTTTATTTAACGTATAACCTAATAAAAGAAGAATATTTTTGCAAATTTTGATGCCAAAATATTATATAATAAATAATCTACAATTTTTTTTATAAAAACAGTTTTGTAATTCGTGCGTTTCGCGCGCTTGAAATGGCCGATATATATATATATATATATATATATATATATATATATATATATATATATATGAAGCGTGTTTATTTAAAAAAGAGCAATGCTTTATAAGTCCTTGGATACCAAGTAAAATGTACCATTTACTGTCTTTTTCTGTACATAACTAAATTTTTTTAAATGTCACTTGTATCCCTTGGCTTCTAGGGTCCTCAATTATGATCTGGAATAACTACCTACCTACTTTTTATTCCAATCGAACAAGCAGTTTAAATACAATATAGAATTTTGCAATGTCACATCTCGAGACCACTAAAAATTGCGGCCTTTTAAATAATATTACTTACTGGACTAAAATTTATTGAAAATCTGATTTTAAAATATGATGGACAATTATTGTCCATCAATCGCCCCCCTATGACGGCACCCTGTATAATATCTAATCTACGACTAACCTGCAGTATTTTTGTTAAAGCGTATAATAATTGTACAATCAATTATAAATGTTCCTCCAAAATAATACATTATAGACCAGGCGGAGAAAGCACATATTATCGCCGAGCATACATTTTAGTGCCAAGGCGATAGTCGAGGCATTAGATCGTGTGCGAGGCAATTAATAGGCTTTCGCCGCTTGGTTTTATATATTTTTTTAAGCATTTAATTAAATTATTTATTTTTAGGTTAGGTTCAGGTCACATGCTGATATTTTAGCTTTGTTTCTGTACGGAGTTTAATAATAATTTGACTTTTGAACTAGTATTGATATAAAGTTTTTCTTTATAGACCTGTGTGTGTGTACTATAACAAATTATTGTATGCTTACAAAATAATATTAATGGTAAAACATTGTAATTTACAATTTTTAAATACTTATAGAATAAATTGAACCTACACCTCGAGTGCGTTCCACCAACTCTCATCAGTGTCGGACAACTTGGTGTAGAGGAACACACCCAAAACAAAGGACTCCCTGAGCTTAAATACTGGGTTGGTAAGCCAACACAAGCGAGATGTAAGAACATCACTTGATCCAGGTCTAACGACGTGGCCTTTGCCGCAATTGGTACATACTATGCAACCAAGACTGCACACGGCAAATTGTATCACAGATACTAATATGGCCTAAAGGAATCTAGAATTAGCCCAACCGGCTGAACATTAAGGTAACCCAACCCAATATAGGTCGAAACAGCTGTCTGTCGATATTTGAAGTTGGTGGAACGCACTCAAAACAAAAAACTTTGGCGAGGTGTAGGTTCAATTTTTCTTATGAATATTACCTGTAAAGAAACTAAGAAAATTGAATGTTTACTTATATATAAATAAATATTTTTCAGCGAGTTTGTAAACAATTTATTTAAACCATGGCCAAGTAGAAAAGAAATAAAGAACTCCCTAAGACCTGCGGAAAAAACCGTTTTTTTCCGGAAAAAAATGGAAGAATTGAGAAATTTTCAGAAAAATTGACTTTTTAATTTTTTTAATTTTATTCTATTATCGAGATACTGATACTGATATCGAGAAAAAAGTGAATTTCCGACGCTGTTTATAATTATATAATATTATGATTATAATAATTGTTTCTTTTATTTTAATTCAGTAAGAATATTCTACCGGGCATATATTCGGTGCTATATTAACATAACTTTTATTTAACAATTTGATTTATAAAAATATAATTTTGTAATTTAAGTTATTTAAATTATTCATTATTTTGTAGTTAATTTAATGCTTAGTTTTATTTTTTTTTGTAATAAAGGATTTTTTTTTAAATAATGTTAAGTGGTTAATTACTACTTTTTTCAAATGGGTATATTTTCCAAAAAAATAAATTAAATTTTTCCCAAAAAAGCCAATTTTTCCAAGGCCGGGAAAATTCCCAATTTTTCCGTTTTTTTTTCCGACACTTTAAAACCCTAGTCATGACGCGTCGCAACGCGCCGTGGGACTTTTTTCTGTGAAGTTTTGTATAATCTATCCTATAGCCTATCTTAAGACGAAATGCAAACCACCCAACCCAAAACTAAAGCAAAGTTTTTATAAAAAAAAACCTTTTTGCACCTGTTTTGTAACACCCTATTATAAAATAAATGTGTATAATACGCGTGTTTATTTATTTTATATTTACTGGGAGTTAAAAAAATAAAGATTTTTATTTATTGAATTAAAATATTGTTTTAAATTATAAAAATATTATTCTAATTCTATTGGTAATATATTAATATTTTAAATTAAAAGTTTAATTTATTTTTAAGGTGTTTTACCTGATGCACTAAAAAGCGATTGTTCGAAATGCAGCGAAAAACAAAGAGAAGGCAGTTTAAAGGTGCTACGTCATTTGGTAAAAAATAAACGTAATTGGTTTGACGAACTGATTACTAAATATGATCCTCAAGGTGCCTACAGGGCCAAATACAAGGAGGAATATAAAAAAGAAGGAATCGTATTGTAAACTAAATCTTGTTATTTTTTGAATTTTATAAACTATTTTATTGTAATCTTTATTTATTTTATCTTGTTATTTTTTGAATTTTATAAATTATTTTATTGTAATCTTTATTTATTTTTTGTAATCTTTTTGTACTTTTGTTTATAGGTATACAAAATATAAAGACAACTTAAAATTAAATATATATATACTGTATTAATAATGCATTTTATAATGTATAGTAGTTTATAATTAACAAACTCGAATTTGTCATTCTAATTATAATTATGATTATTAATGTTCTAGGTACCTATAGCACATAGAATATATTAATAAAAATCAATTATTTAATGGCAACATTTTTAATTATACGTATATGAATAATTTTACTGAAAAATAATTACCTGCCTAAGTAAATGTGTCACATAATTTCTAGGTATAACTGTGTTATTTTATTTATTAATTGATATTAATTGAATTTTAAATTACTTACTGTTTGTAGCGTTATTAATAGGAAAATAAATATTTTTACCATTAATTAAAGAACTTCTTCACTCAACGTTTTTACAATATTAAAGTACATACAAACTTAAGAATTTAGGAACAATAATAATATGTTAACAATATTTTCAAAAATATTTTTGTCTATTTTGATGCGACTAAGAGTTCTAAGACGCATCGTTTTTAATGATACTAAGAGCTTTCTAGAAACATCGTAATTAGGGAAATTTTATTTTAGACTATTAGCAACTTTCAGGTCAACGATGTGTTAAAAACTGTTTTTTTGGTTTTGTTTATTAAAAATATAATATAAAATGTGTGCAGGTATATAAAATCATTAGAAGTAAATGTAAACTGTGTCTGGCTCTTATAATTGACAATTGAAGCATCAAAATAGACAAAACAAAATTTGACGTTTTATTTTGACCAATATTAAATATTAATTTTGAAATTTCAATTTAAGTCAATTGTGCCAACCTAGTAATATGAATCAAACAACTTGTTTTTTTAAAGATTTATTTAAATTTATTGATAAATTGTGGAGCAATCAGCAGATCCAGTTTTGTTAAAAAATGAGTTAGGTATGAACTAACAGTAAATGAGGTAAGTTTAATCCATTGGTGAACTCAGAATTGAGCCAAACCAAGTAATTGATAAAGAATACCTGTCTCGAAACCTAGCAAATCAAGCAAAAGCAGATAAATCCAAATTAATACAATTTACATTCTTGTTTAAATGAAAATAAGATAAATTCACTTTATTGTTATTTTAAATGAACTTAAATAGCATTAACATTTTTCAGATTAATCCTGGACCACCCTGTATAGGTCAATGGATAAAACGGTTTTTTTTATTGATATTTCAAGCAAATGAAGATAAATCCTGTCAATTCTGAGGTCAATTCAAGCAACACCAGATAAATCCATTTTGTTTTTTACTATAACACATGATGCAGGTGGACATAAAAATAAAAAAATAATTTTCAGGTCTTATAACACTATACTCTATATAATCTCCATAAAAGACCGCCTTACATTTCCAAATACTTCATTTACCACTTCTCTCATTGCTGCCGTGATTCTGGCTCTCAGATTATTTGGCCATTCACAGGGGGTTAAGTCAGGTGACCTTGGTGGCCACTTTATCTGCCCTCCACGTCCGCAAATACTTCGTCCAAATATTCTCTTAGTAAAATGAGGGGGTGCCCCATCCTGTTAAAACCATATAGTTTTGTCATCTGGATACAGGGCTTCTTTTCCACGGACAACGTTCTCTGTTCCATTTCCAATTATGCCTGTTCAGACATTGACTTTTTGACCAAGAACACTCTAATAGAGTTTCTTTAAGTCAAGATGAAGAACTTAACAATTAAGAAATTAACAATTAACAAATATGAAAATGCTGATTTGGAGATGATTTTAAAAAATAACAGATTACTCGAAAACTATGTGAACTGTATTTTGGACAAAGGGAAATTTACCAGAGATGGAAGAGAATTAAAAGGTTATAATTATATTTTTAGATCAATAAACATAATATATGTTATTTTAAATGTATGTTATTATTATTTTTAGAACTTTTACCTAAAGCAAACAAGACAGGCTGCGAAAAATGTACAGAAAACAAAGGAATGGTAGCAAAAAAGCCATTCGGTATTTAGCCAAAAACAAACGTGATTAGTTCAATCAAATAACATCCAAGTACGATCCAACTGGGCAGTACACAAATAAATATAGTAAAGAATTTCAAAAAGAATACTTTTTAATACTTGTATTATTTAATAAAAAAATCATTGTCCCATATAATTGTTTTATTTACTAACAAATGTATTATAAGTAGACATGTCATAATTGGCATTTAAGAAAATTGTCATGTATTAAAATAATAAATACTTTAATAAAAAGCGGAAATCCTTTGTAAAATATATAATAAATACCACTTAACAGCAAACTAAAACTTATTCGTCCTTAAAATGGCTAAAATGGTAGTTTTTGTGTGTTTATTTTTTGTAGTGTTAATAGAAGCCGATGAAAAATATACAACGAAATATGACAATATTGATTATAATGAAATATTAGCTAATCATAGACTTTTAAAAAATTACTTTAATTGTTTATTGGAAAAAGGAAACTGCACTCCTGAAGGATCAGAATTAAAAAGTTAGTATATTTTTTAAAATAGTTATAATAATTTATATGGTGGAAAATTTTATTAAAGTTACATGAAATCACTGTATTAAAATAGTTCATTTTAATTAAATTTCGGTGAAAATCTTAAAAATACGCTAAAGAAGTATCGCTAGTAACGCCACCACACGGCTGTTATCATCGTAACAAAAGTACAACTTTTGATAACACTAGTAAACAATAAAAAAAGGTCGGTAATAAAAATAGCTCAGTCCTATAGATTTTGACCTGCTCGACGCAAATCCGGCGCCCAAAAAATTTTCCGAAGTCTCGTTTAGACGATACGGGCAGGACCATGATACAAAGAAAAATTGTTAAATAATAACGATAAAAATTAGTAAATAAAAAAGGTCGGTAATAAAAATAGCACAGTCCTATAGATTTTCACCTGCTCGACGCAAATCCGGCGACCAAAAAAATTTCCAAAGTCTCTTTTAGACGATACGGGCAGCACCATGATACAAAGAAAAATTGTTAAATAATAACGATAAAAATTAGTAAATAAAAAAGGTCGGTAATAAAAATAGCACACTGTGCCATTTTTATTACAGTCCTATAGATTTTCACCTGCTCGACGCAAATCCGGCGACCAAAAAATTTTCCGAAGTCTCGTTTAGACGATACGGGCAGGACCATGATACAAAGAAAAATTGTTAAATAATAACGATAAAAATTAGTAAATAAAAAAGGTCGGTAATAAAAATAGCACAGTCGTATAGATTTTCACCTGCTCGACGCAAATCCGGCGACCAAAAAATTTTCCAAAGTCTCGTTTAGACGATACGGGCAGCACCATGATACAAAGAAAAATTGTTAAATAATAACGATAAAAATTAGTAAATAAAAAAGGTCGGTAATAAAAATAGCACAGTCCTATAGATTTTCACCTGCTTGACGCAAATCCGGCGACCAAAAAATTTTCCAAAGTCTCTTTTAGACGATACGGGCAGCACCATGATACAAAGAAAAATTGTTAAATAATAACGATAAAAATAAATAAACAAAATAATTTGAACGATAAAAAACAGTAAACATTAAAAAAACATGCCTTAAATTTTTACAATATGTACAGATATGTTGTTCATGGAATGCTGAAATATAAGTTAAAAGTAACGTCATCCTAAAATTTTCAAATGGTGTATCTATGCAATAAATGGTACCATAATACTGTGCTCCTATTTTTTATTTACGACTTCAGAAATTTTTTTTAAAAACATTTTTTTTTTTTTTTCAGTCATAAACGATCGAAAAATTCTTTTTTTAACCAGGACCTTTTTTTTAAGTTAAAATTTGTTGCCTAGTGTAATCAAACGCGTGTGGTCCAAACGAGTGTTTTTAAAAATAAAGCCGGAAAATGTTAAAAAATATAGGAATAAAACGTGGCACAATTTGTTGTGTTGTTGGGTGCATTTCGAGAGGAAATCCTGTGTTAAGTTTTTATCGGTTTTCCAATAAACAGTGTTAATCCGAATGAAAAAATAAATTTCATACAGTCTCTGTAAATATAAATTGTAAAAATTTAAATTCAGTAAAAATCGTCAAACAAATAATGCTGGAAACCAGGGACCCGGACCGGACCGCTTTTGGACAGAAAACCGGACCGGAACCGATATATATTTGTGGACCGGAACCGTAACCGAACCCAAATTATTTTTAAACGTAACTCTAGAGACCGAACCCGAACTCTTTAAATTTAAAACGGTTTTTGGGTTATTTCCGATTTTTTTCTTAATTTCTTTTTGCAAAAATAAAAAAAATATTTTGTTTCGTTAAAAAAATCTATAAAATTAGTTTTTGCAAAAAAATATTTGAGCAAGGGCTATAAATAAATTATACTCTAGCACAAGTACGAATTGTTAAGCCCGCTGCACAACAGCCCGGTAACGGGATCCTAAACGGTAAAGGTGGGAGAGACTCAGCAAACACAGTGGTTTCTTAGTCCCTCCTACTAGTGTTGGGAATAACCGATTTATTTCAATAACCGATTACCGAGTATTCAAGTGATTTCAAAAACCGGATTATCACTTGAATTACGATCACTTAAATGCTCATCGTGGGGTGGGCGTTGCTTCTTTACATTCCGTACCGGAATGTAAAGAAGGAATTTTCGGTTTACTCGATTCCTTAAAAAAGGCTTGTAATGTTCAAGCAGTATTACCATTTTTCTAGAAATCTACTTTTTTGGTAGTTTTTCAACATAATTATAGTAGGCAAAAAATTATAATTAAATTTTTAATATAAGTGTTTAAATTTTTAGATTTTCCACGTAGTAGGTAATTTAAATTTAATGCTAATTTTTGTTAACAAATTTCAATAAATTCAAATTTTAAACAAACTTTAACTGTCAAATGAGCAGATTCCTAAAAATATAACCTGTATATTACAGATAACTTTATTTACCACGCCGTTTCAGACTTTTGCCAACCAGGTTATTTTAAAAATATACACTGCGCAAATAACCGGATTATTCATGACTTGGATCCAAAACTCATAACCGAATAATTTAGGTTATTTCAATAACCGGGTAATATGTTATTTTTCACTCGAGTGATCCCAACACTACCTCCTACCTTTACTATTCAGATTCCCGGTTCCTGTTACCGGGCTATTGTGCATCGGGCTTTAGGGGCTCCTGCTGTGTTAATAACAATTGTAAATGTTGTAAAAATAATTATTGTAAATGTAAATTAAAATAACTTTATTGAAAAAAGAAAGATGTCATATGTATACATATATATTATATAATACTAGGCAACATTAATTAATAAACCCCCACTGTAGGATATCGGTATACCTACTGCGCCATGAAGTAAATAATACCAGAGTAGGTTGAAGACTGATTTATCAGCGTTGCCAATCTTTTCGTTCGAAAAATCCTGAGTTCTCTAGTCAAATATCCGTAGAAATCCGTGGGTGAAGGGTAAAATCCGGACATTTATCCGTACCAGGGATCAGAGGTGGCAGGCACCGCGGCGACTTAGAAACTTGGATAGATTTACGAATTTTCACTAAAAATTTTGATTGGTACTCAATATTTATCAGCTGTTCAGTTATTTAGCATTGATTTATTATCTATGGCATTGACATTTGGCGGAAAGGAGTTGGACTTTCTCTTGGCCTCTTGACTTATTTTAGCCTTTCTGTTGTAGAAGGGGCTCTTTCACATGCAAGACTATCAGCCTGTGTTGATCTTAAAGGCAGGTTAATGGTGATTTCAAGAGTCACTTATCTCTCCACACCTAACTTTCCTATTAGGGTTAGTAATTTGTTCTTAATATTGAGTTAATTTTCTGGCTCCGCGACATTGAGAATCTTCATGTGAGAAATGAGTAATTTTCTTGCCCTTTTCCCAACATGGGCCGTCCAGTCACTAAAAGTTTGTATAAAAATTAGCAAAAAATAATTATTTTAAGATTATTTGATTTTCATTCAGGGATACACTTAATTCAGAAGAGCCAGTTCAGCTTTACATAATGGTTTTCCAATCTATTTTTTTTACATATCTGAGCGAAGTTTAGATAGATAAAGAATTATCCCCTGCTCTACCACTTAACCCAGAGGCTGTGGGCCACAGCTACTTAATAAAACTAATAAAAATAAAGGTACCTGTTAAATCAAGTACAGCTTTCTTAAGTAAAATTAAATTTAGATTATACAAATATAAAAATAAAATTTATTCGATATCATATTGGGGCTTAGGTGTGTCCACAGAACATTTTTTAAACAAATTTTAAATTTTCCAAGGAATACATTTTTTTATGTAGGTGAAATTGAATGATAAATTCTATAAATTAAAAAAGTAAGACCTTTTAAATAAAGAGGAGCAATAAAAATTAAAATTAAAATAAATAACATAGCTGATCAGGTTGTCGTTAGAAAATATATATGTCTAAAGTCAGGTCTACAATTGTCGCAGGTCGCAGATTACAGAACTTAAGCTTGCGCAAAGCACCCAGATGACAAAAGAACCTTGCTCCATCGCCACGTTCTGCAATCGAACCCCTGCGACAATTGTAGACCCGCCTTAAGAAAGCGATGTTTATAAACAGCAAGAAAGGAAATAAGCACCTAAGTCTTGAAAAATGTGTCGATTTGGAAAGGGATTGTCAAAACCAAGGTTTCTGGTCGTTTTAAAATAAGTATACCAATTACTTTTTAAACGTGGCAACATTGGGGTTGATAAGTTTGGCTTCTTTTTTACTTTGTACTTTGATTTTGTAGGTATAAGCATTGTAGAAAAACAATGGTATAAAATGCACAATATTACGATGATTTCTACTCTACTAAAATAAAATACACTTTGTGTCAAATTTAACGCACCACTAAAAATTTGCTACAATTTTAAAGTTGAATTTATTGCGAACCGTCAAACCGAATTTGGTAGTTTTTGTTTTAAATTGTAGGTTTATTCTTTGGTTATGATGCCTTTATTAAAATATTTGTTTACGTTTTGAGTATATACAGGGTGCACAGGGTTCTACCAGCTATAACATCATATGTCTCTTATAATCAAACTATAGCCCCATCTTCTCTTAACATTATGTTTTTTAATTCACTGCGTTATCTTTATTTTTAAAAGAAATATACAGTTAAATATTAAAGAACTTCAGTTTATTAAAAAAAAATTAAAAGAACGATTGTAACAATAAAAATATGAACACAATCAATAAAAACAACATTAAAGAATATAAATATCGCGTATTTCCGCCTCTACTTCTAATTACGGCTTCACATCGACGGCTCATACTCGAAACCAGATGTCTAATCTCGCCTTGTTCATTGGCATTCCATATTTCTCGTAGCATATTTGCTACGTCATCAATGCAGGCAGGAAAGGGATCATGATTTCTTAGTCGTCTACCTATATTATCCCAAAAATGCTCAATGGGGTTGAGATCCGGACTATTTTCAGGCCAGTCTAATATTTCAACACTCTTCTTATGTAAGTACTCTTACACTATTATAGTGTAAGAGTACTATAATATGAGCGGTGTGCCGCAGCGGCATGCGTTATCCTGCATCAGTAAAAAATTATTACCGAAAGGGACAACATGCTCAGATAAAATGTCCTCCATATATCGTACATTATTCATGGTACATCCACGAACAATAACGAGATCTGTGCGAGCTGTCAAGAAAATTCCTTCCCAAACCATTACAGAACCTCCATGTTACACTGTAAAAATCTCTTTTTGGACGTCGGAGAACCCTTACTCGCCGATCAGAGCTGAATAAACAAAATCTGACCTCGTCTGTAAATAGTACACGCTGCCAATCCTCAATATTCCAGCCAACATGTTGTCCGGCAAATTGAGTCTTGCTCTACGATGATTTGCATTTAACTTCGGTCCTGTTGATGGAATTATGAAGGTCAAATTCTGTTCCGCAAGACGTCTTTTTACGGCGGACACACTTGCTTGAAAATTATGAGTAGCATTAAGTTGTACCTGTAGATTAATTGCTGTTACAAACCGTTTTTTCAAAGCATGCAAAAAAAGGAAACGATCATGTACAACTTTTGTCATTCGATGCCTTCCCTGCACATTACGTCTGTTATGATCGTTCCTGACATTTGTACACCATTATTTATTTTTATCTATGTTAAGTTCTTTCATTTTACATTAAACTGGAGTTATTTAGTTTTTAACCGTATACAGACTGTATAGAATCAAGTAAGTAAGGCTGGAGACAAGGATGAAAAATTATATTCTGATCAGAGAAAAAGAAACAAACTTTAATTGGGCGTGGTTTAAACCAAGCCATTCGTAATTACGAACCATAGTTGCCAGGTTGTTTTAAATCAGAAGAGAACGATTATAATTATTTAATAAATAGTTCAATTTTATTTGTTTGAAACTTTAAAAATAAAAAAAAAAATAATAATATGTCAAAAATAATTTGATTTAGTTAATTTTCTTACTTTTAATATTAAAAAATAAGAAAAACAACCCTTTTAGGAAACAATAATAGCATATGGCAACAGCGCGGCATGCAGCCAGATACAAGGGCATGCAGTTTGATCTACTGTTTGTTCAGTAGCTCCGACGCTGTCGTAGGGAAATGTGTATAGTTTTTAAGAAATACATTTTCGCCATTAACTGGAATTTAATGGATTTTAAACAATACTTAGTTTTTATTTGCAGAAATACATTAAAACAAAATAAACGAATTCGATAAAAATAAAACCTATAAATTCTCAAACAAAAATAATTCTAAAATAATAATAATTCAATCCCTACCACAGTGGGCGGGGTTTGGCACTTGTTGTGTGAATCAAAAAATAAAATGTTAAGAAAATATGAGGCTATAGTTTAATTATATAAGTCATATGCTGTTAAATCTGGGCGTTTCAAATTTACGGGAAAAACCCTGTATATACTCAAAATGTAAATTTAAAAAAATATTTCAATAAACGTATTATTACCGAAGAATAAACCTACAATTTATTGAAAAATCACCAAATTCGGTTTGACGGTTCGCAAGAAAATCACGTTTGAAATTGTGGCAAGTTTTTAATGATGCGTTAAATTTGACGCGGTGTAGTTAAAATTTCACTATTTAAATTAGTAACTGCATTGTTTATTAATATAATAGTCCTTTTCACTTTTAAATAGTTACTTTTTACTATTTAAATGGTTAAAGTTTGACTAATTCTTGCGTACAAATTATTGTTAGTGTCAAATGCATGTAGCCTATAGGCTCCATGGTTAAATGGCCCATGAAAACAAACAAAGATGCAAACATGTTTAGCCCACAATAGCATTTAACTTTAAAATGTAACTAACTAACAATATTTATAGACAAATATAATTTTAATTTATAAAAGTGATCGACAACCAGAGACTCGAGTTTAACCCCCGCCGGGACAAAACTTAATTTAAATGTACTAATTTGACTATTTCATTCGGTATAATTTGACTAATTATAATTAGTAAACAATAAAAAAAGGTCGGTAATAAAAATCCTATAGATTTTGACCTGCTCGACGCAAATCCGGCGCCCAAAAAATTTTCTGAAGTCTCGTTTAGACGATAAGGGCAGGACCATGATACAAAGAAAAATTGTTAAATAATAACGATAAAAATTAGTAGATAAAAAAAATAAATAAAAATAATAAAATATAAATATAAAATAATAAAAATAAATAAAAAAGGTCGGTAATAAAAATAGCACACTTCTATAGATTTTGACCTGCTCGATGCAAATCCGGCGACCAAAAAATTTTCCAAAGTCTCGTTTAGACGATACGGGCAGCACCATGATACAAAGAAAAATTGTTAAATAATAACGATAAAAATTAGTAAATAAAAAAGGTCGGTAATAAAAATAGCACACTCCTATAGATTTTGACCTGCTCGACGCAAATCCGGCGACCAAAAAATTTTCCAAAGTCTCGTTTAGACGATACGGGCAGCACCATGATACAAAGAAAAATTGTTAAATATATTTAACAATTTTTCTTTGTATCATGGTGCTATTAAAAAATTGCAAACAAAAATTGCAAACAAAAATTGCAAAAATTGCAAAAAATTTTCCAAAGTCTCGTTTAGACGATACGGGCAGCACCATGATACAAAGAAAAATTGTTAAATAATAACGATAAAAATTAGTAAATAAAAAAGGTCGGTAATAAAAATAGCACACTCCTATAGATTTTGACCTGCTCGACGCAAACCCGGCGACCAAAAAATTTTCCAAAGTCTTGTTTAGACGATACGGGCAGCACCATGATACAAAGAAAAATTGTTAAATAATAACGATAAAAATTAGTATACAAAATAATTTGAACGATAAAAAACATCAAAAAAATATGCCTTAAATTATTACAATATGTACAGATATGTTGTTCATGGAATGCTGAAATATAAGTTAAAAGTATCGTCATCTTAAAATTTTTAAATTGTGTATCTATGCAATAAATGGTACCAAAATACTGTGCTCCTATTTTTTATTTACGACTTCAGAAATTTTTTTTAAAAACATTTTGGATCTATTTCAATTATAAACAATCGAAAAATTCTATTTTTAACCAGGACCTTTTTTTTAAGTTAAAATTTGTTGCTTAGTGTTATTAGTGACCGCTTTTTCGCTATGACAATTAGTAAGAGGTATGAGGCATACGTTTTTTTAACAAGAAATTCGTTCGTTGCTCTATTTTTGACAGCATATCAAATTATTACTTCTTAAAATAGACGTAAAATCATCCTCCAATCATTTTTAACATTTTAAGAAATTTTCAATTTTTTTACCATTATCAAAGATAAAATATACTTTTATATTTAATCTTTGAAAAAAAGTAAAGGTATTTAATCTTTGCTATTATTCAGTAATTCAGAGCGCATCATTAACTAAACGTTCTGTCCTGTCTACAAAAGTAAACTTTTTTATGAAATATTTTTTTTGTTTGCATAAATCTCGATAAATCTACATAAATCTCAGATGCAAAATTCATGTTAACTATTGTTATAAATTTAGTATAGTATTGTAAAAAGTATTACACTTAACTAAAAAAATTGAAAAAAATTGTATACCTCTACATAATACATAGCATGTAAGTTGTTTTGTCAAAAAATTTTCGGTGATTAAAATTATTATTATTGTAAAAGAAGTAATTAACAAAATTAAGTAACTTCTCAAATTGTAACAAAATAATAATGTTATTGCATTTTAAACACAATTCTACAAAATTGTGCACCTTATGGACAAAACTAGAAACATGTTTTCGACATCGTGTAAAAGTAATCAAGTCAAAATGTTAATAGCTTAAAAATTAAACCAATTTTGACAAAAGAAAGCATAAAAACTGTGAATAAAAGACTTCAAAGTGCTACCCAGAATAGTTATAATTTTTTACTTTAATTGTTCCCAAATGATGCAGAATTGGCGCTAAAAATCTTTGTTCTTTTTTCTTTATAAGTACTATTTAAATAACAATTTCTCTCCAAATTTTTTAAAAACTTATGGTAACATTCCTGTATTTCTGTCCTGGCTTAATTAGTTTTTCCCTTTAATTTTTTTATGTTAAGCCCAACATTTATAAATTTATTAATATTATGATATTATCATATTAGCAATGTATTGAATGTAGAAAATTAGACAAAGCGATCATGGTTTTAATATTATAATAACTTTATAGAGGTTTTGCCTGACGCCTTGCAAACAGATTGTTCCAAATGCAGTGAAAAACAAAAAGCAGGTGTAAAAACAGTATTTGACCATTTGATGAATGACCATAAGGATATGTGGGAGGAACTCCAGAAAAAATATGACCCAGATGGCATCTATTATAAAAAATACGAGGAAGCAATGAAAAAAGAAGGACTTTAATAATTGTGTTGTAACATATTTATTAATATTTTAAAAATTTAGGTAATAAAGCAATAATATAATATATACTTTTTTTAACTGTTATAACACTTGGCTATAGCCAATTTAATTATCCGTCGAAAATAATTTATTAAAAATAATGTTGTAGGAAGCTTAGCTCTTGTTTTTTACTATTATTTATTTTTTGGGATCGAGGTGTAACGCTTTTTAAGCCCAGATTCGACTGAAAATTCTGTCTACGTCCATGCATATATAGATAGAAGTTGGATTTGAGCCCAAGGCCATCCAATAACACGTTTAACACGTAAAGTGCATCCAATTTTCAGTAGAAATATTGTACCAAATGTATCAATTATAAAAAAATAACTGCTTTTGCCACATTCATAATTTTATTTACAGTATCTTATAAACACATTAAATGATGTAGGTGACGAGCAAGATTCCTGGGGAGTCCCTACAGAGTTCCAGAAGTGTTTTGTCAATTTCTACAACTTTCGGATGTAAATTACATTATTTTATACTTTTTAGTGGGTCAAAGTCTGTTATGAGTTTTTTTTTAATTAAATTGTTTTTTTAATTTTTATACATTACATCATCCGCCATATTGAAATTAGAATAACGTCACGTTTTTCTGCTTGAGGCTGCCGCCATATTGGATTTATTATGGCGTCACTAACCTTCTAACCCTTTTATTTAATACCCATATCAAGGAGGTTGCAAAAAAATATATAGGTAATACTATATTACCCACCTTAACGTTTTCACTTGTCAAATTTGATAACTAAATAAAGGGGGTTGTTTCAAAGGTAATCCGCCGTCTGAAAGCGTCGGCCATTTTAAGCAAATTACGATATTGAGTATACCTACTTTATTGTTATCAGCAGCAAAACTGTGTGCAAAATTTCAGCTTAATCGGTTGGTAGGTTTAAGGAATTCCTACAAACCTAACGAACACATCAAAATCTAATAGCAGGTAAGGGTAAGTTATTTTTAAACAAAGGCTTTGTAAACTTTTATAAACTTTTCCAACATGTGATTTAAAGTAAAATATTTGTGAAATATATTTAAATTAAATTTTTTTATAAATTTAATATTTCGCCACACTTATTAGGTACCTAATTAGCCCATTCAGGGATTTTTTATGACATAACAATCGTTTGTTAATATTTACAAAAATAAAAAAATATAAACATCAATGTTAATTGTTAATTTGTTTAATTGCTGATTAAAAATATCCTCTACTAATTGCATCAAAAATTATTTCAAAATTCTTTATATAAATAGGGAACAATATCAAAGTAAATTCAGTTGCATTTTTTAAACAATAACTGAAACAACTTAAACAATAATGAAATATTACGCTGTTTTTCTGCTTAGTGCTCTAGTGGTAGCTGTATGTTCTGAAGACAAATTTTACAAACTTCCCGAAAAATACCAGAACATTAACATCACCAAAGTTCTAGAAAATGAAAGATTGATCCAAAATCATTGTAATTGTGTTTTGGAAAAAGAACATGCTAAATGTAATAATGATGGAGAACAACTAAAAAGTAAGTAATATTTCGCGGTCATTTGCTTTAGAAGTAAAAAGTTTTGCGGATTTAAGCCGCGTCTTATAGTGATTCAGTTTGACATTTCGACAGCCATGTTGCTGTCTTCTTCAGAAAACTGAAACTAAAGTTAGTCGATCTTTTTACTTCCAATATTTATACTGTATAATGTTTTAATTTTAATTACCTGTTTGTCTTTTCATATAGAATATATACCTGAAGCAATTGCTAACAAATGTAAACGCTGCACTGAAGAACAAAAAGAAGCTGCTATTGTGGTCATCAAACATTTAAAAGCTAATAATCCCGAAAAATGCTTTGATCAACTAGTTGCCAGATACGATCCCAAAAACGAACATTCCAAAGAATTAGAAGAGCTTCTATCTTAAAGATAATACCAAAATGACAATATTGTATATTTTAAATATTTAAATACATGTTTTTTTGAAAGAACTGCATTTTATTTTTATGTGTTCTTACAATTAAAATCTTTAAGTAATTATAAATTCTTTAGAGATAGTTGGTATGAGTATGAGTATGAGTATGGGAACGTATGGCAAGCCCCAGATATATTGTCATCCACTGATCTCCCGAGGTTATATTACCCCCTTTCCGTTCTCCTGCGTATCCCGCCAAATCACAGCATTACCTGTGTTTGTTGGATCCGAAGTTTTTACGCCGGCTGGTAGATCCACCCTAGGAGTTCGTGGATGACAGTGTCAAAGGTTAAGGCAGCTCCCGGGATTTTTGTCAGCCGGGTCGGGCCATACGTCCAGTTTAGGAAGGGCTTTTGGAGGACATTGAACTGACCCAAAACTAAGTACAATCCGGAATCCTCCTAAACCAGGGCTTTAGTAATAACCCCATTCATTTGGTATTCCTGAATGGGGGTGGGTATGTTAGTTTTTCTGCTTACTCCGGCTACCAACCTTGTATATTCTTTATTTATTTTATTGCTATATTAGTGTTCATACCGTTTTCATTTATTTATATCTTTGCCTTCTTACTTATTTTTTTCAAATTAATTTAAAAATAAAAATATTAATATACAAAATAGATAAAGCCGGCCCTGTGGTGTATCGCATCAATTTGAAACCCGGCCCCTATGTCAGGCGTGCAACGCATGCCTCAATAGATGGCCTACCACTTCATTTTCGCGTGGGGGCTTTGCCCATTTACTTTCTCCATCCTCCAAGCTTTGCTTGCGTGAGCTTATGTGTATATTATATAATATATATAATACAATAATATAATATTGCGACGCACCCACTTGATTTCCCTTCACACACGCACGCTGCCCTCTGCAATGATCAATTGTTGCCTGGTTTCCTGTTAAATTAGTATCTATATAAATTCAATATAAATTTCAATTAGTCAATACCAATACTAATACCAAATAATACAAATAATCAATACCAATATCAACCAATCAATCAATTAATCAATATTAACGTTAATATCAGTATCAACCAATTAATCAATCAATATTAATACTAATATCAATATCTATAATGCCAATATCAACATCAACACTTATACCAACAATATTACCATCAATACCAATACCAATATGATTATATCAATATCAATCAATCAATTAAATTATTAATTAATTAATTAATCACTTTATGTAAATCGATCTTCAAAATAGAGCCGGCCCTGTAGTGCATAGTGGAATGCGTCTTTATGGCCTGCTTGGCTCTTGAATTCCGTGTATTAGCCTGGCTTGATTTATGAGTGTGACCCTAAATTTATTTATGATAAATTTTTGTCTTCTTGCTTGAATTGGTTTATTTGCTTACGCCTTTTACGCTGGTTGTTTACGTTTGTCTGCCATGAGAAAATAGGTTGTTATTTAACAGTTACGGAAATGTTCTTAATATTTTTTAAATTTAATTTTTAAGACGAATAGATTTCTTAGATTCTTTGCAACTTTGTGAAATGCTTATATAAACATTTAACGATTATACGGTAAGACATGCAATTAGAAGAATTACTTAGCTTGATTATTAGGCTATAAACCTGATGCTTTGTCCTTCGCGGGGAGTCCCTCTCCTGTAGGTTTTTGCATAGAAAAAGGACGTTTTTGGAACGCTCCGATCCAGGTGCGCCGGTTGACTTATCGTTGCTGCCCAGCCTCAATCAGGCACTTATTCACTTGCACACCTTTACGGCGTTATCTCACAATTTTCGCACTTCTTGTTTATTTATGTATTTATTTATTATTTATTATTCATTAACGATCACCGACATTTCCGGACACTTCGTTTCGCTTTTGGCATTTTACGTTTGTATCGTATACGCCACTTAGGATCTTGACGCATCCGACCTCTTCGAGCATCAAGACGGTACTGTGTAAATTCTTTAGAGATAGTTGGTGCAATATAAATTTTACAATACCAGAATATAAAGTATCTTATTAGAATTATATTTTGCATTCTAATATTAATTCTTGGCACCTCAAAACGCAGTTTAGTTAAGAAATAGACAGTCCAATTAATGTTGACACAAAAGTATGTTTTTGATATTAGTTTTAATCATCAGTGTTAGTTTTTTTAATTGTAAGGAAATGTATAATACAAAGTATGATCATTTAGATGTTAATTTAATTATAAAAAATGATCGTTTGCTAAAAAACTACGTGGATTGTATTCTGGAAAAAGGGAAGTGTACACCAGTGGGACAGGAAATAAAAAGTATTATTATTATTTTGACACTAAGGCAGCACCCGATGTGTCAAAATATATTTTTATTTAAATTTATACATTAATATAATAAAACGACAAAGTTTAAAAATCGCTTAATTGTCATAAATCGGATCCTGTCTTAGTATCATATAATTATTTTTGCATGTTGTCCACACTGTAAAAAATATATATTTATATGGTATACCCAAAATCCACCAGTCTGACTAACTGGAACTTAACCAGAGATTGATAATCCGGCAATGGATATTCAGAATAAGATGCTGAACCTTAAGGGTCTGAATCCTTAGTTGATTTTAAGAAAAAAAGTTCAAATAAACCTATGTCCTAAACCTCTTAATTTTTGAGTTACAGGGTGTTAAAGTTTTAAGAAAAAAATCGTTTTTTTATCATAACTTTAATAACTTTCTAGATATTTTTATAAAATTTGGCACACGCCTTCTAAGCATTAACAGTAAGTTTTTGATATAGAAGATTTTTTATTTTTTATACTAGTGGCGTGCACCTCATATACTCTAATTTTATTTATTTTTTAACTGTAACTGGAACGCAAGAAGTGAAAAAACTCCCCTTTTCTTTTCCCCCCTAACGCCTATTTATACAGGGCTACGCAAATGTTACTATGCAGACCTAACTTTAAAAAATTGTACCTACTTCTTTTGCTAATAAAGCTATCGACATTTAACAAACTGTTAATTGTTGAGAAAATATTTCTCTTTTATACCATATAGGACATTTAGTTATTGATGCCCTAAATAGTCTTTGGGAATTAAAAAAAATGCAATTTTTTGTCAAAATTGTCTAATTTTATAAATTCATATATTCTTAGAACAACTTGCCAGCAAATTTTTTTTAATGTACACGGAAAAAAATCTATACTGATTCCAAGAAAATTCAACTCTATCCAAGTATAGCTTAGTTTCCCTATTCCGCAAGTAAATTTATACTTGTTTCAAGTATCCTCATATTCTTATAAAATAAAGATAGCTTCGGTTTAATCTAAGATTACTATAGTATACTATACTAAAAATAAGAAACACACTAATTTTGAGTTAAGTATACAAATTTGTCTTCAATGAAGACTACGGTATTCTTGTTGTAACGCTAGTATGTACTTCATCAAAGTATAGTTTCTTTGTAAAATCTTTAAAGTATTCTTGTTTTAAGAATATACTTTCTTTAAAATTTATTTATTTATACTTATTGTAAGTACACGCTTTACTTGCATAAAATGCTTGTATTCTTACTTTTCATTTTTTTATATTTGATAAAAGTATAGTATATATTTAAAATAACTTTACACTATTCTTAAAGAAAGTGGTTGATTAGAAAAAAAATTCCCTCGTCTAGCGACTCGGAATAATTTTTACAAAAAAAACATTCGTGACCCTGTAGTATAATAGGCACTGATATCACAATCCCTGATAGCAAAATTTGATTCTAAGAATCTTCTAAGAAGATATGACCCGGAATAATGGAATATTCTTAGAACCTTCCCCTATTGCTAAGAATGTTCTTAGGGACTTTTAAAACATTCAATAGATACCCTTTTAATGATGCAATTAGATTCTTAGAAGCTCCTTAAAACCTTTCTAAAAAGTATTCTAAGAACATTTTAAGAATACGTTTTTGGAATGTTCTTAGAAGGTTTCTTATGGAGCTTCTAGGAAGCTTTTGAGAATATTTCCAAATATGTCAGATACCCACGTTCTAATATGTTGGATTCTACATTCGTAAAATTCTTCAGGAGGCGACAAATACGCCTCACTGTCATAATATGACAGTGAAATGTATTTGTCGTCCCCTTAAATTTTGCGACATATTAATATATATATATATATATATTTATTTAAAAATATGAAATAAACAATTTGACCTCTAAACCATAAGTTGTATGACATTATTTCATAATTGGAAAATTTTGTGGGATAATTCAGATTAGATTGAAGTTGAAGATAGTTAGGATTATTATACATAAAAATGTTAATTCAGATATAAAAAATCGGTATACAAATTAATAAATATTTATTTTTAACAAAAAATAAAATATAAAAAAACAAAATATTTCCTTATAAAATAATTCTTCATTCTTCATAAAAAAAACATTTTTCATTGTATTTAAGTTGGATAGAAGATTTTATGTAAAAGCCGGATAATTTAGATACCTATAGTAAAAGTATTTTTGTTATCGAATATTGTTTTAATTTGACAAATAACTATAAAAAAATATTTTGGGTTGTGTTTTTTACTTAGTATTTAATACTAAGTATAGGTACCTTTATACGTAGATTATGGTATATTTTACTATTATATAGGTACCTAACTGAACTGAATATGCTTAACAGAATGTTCCAGGAATATTCCTAAATGAACTTTCTATAGCAATTACTTTCTCAACATTCTAAGCATATGTTTAGAGTGGATTAATTTTTACCACTAAACTTTGCACCTTCTATAAACCTGCCTATAGGCCAGTGAGAATATTCTTAGGATTATGCTATATTTCTTTTAAGCATGTTCTTTAGAAGAAATATAGCATGATCCTAAGAATATTCTCACTGAAAGGTTTAAAAAACATTCTTAGAACATGACTAGAAGAAATATAGCATGATCCGAAGAATATTCCCACTGGAAGGTTTAAAAAACATTCTTAGAATAAACTGTGCTATCAGGGAATAGGATTATTACCTAACAGTCTTAGAGGTATTGGAAAAAATACTGTCAATTTATATAAATTCATTCTTTCACGGTTAATTAACATAGATACTATATTTTACATTTTAGTACCTAGTATCACATTTTTGGTGATATATGTAAACGTAAGGTTTTTAAACACAAAAGTTATTATTTTTTGAAGTAGGTATTTTTATTGTCAGTAAAATTTATCTCCAGTTAAATAATTTGTAAAATGATTCTCTAAGAAGGCTACCATTATCATCGTAGATGGTTTGGTGTTAATTCTTCAATTTTTTTCTCTACACTTGATCCTCAATCCTATTTTTGGAATTAATTCCTTTAAATTCTCCTCGCTTAGGTTTACCATAATATCGAGATCTATCTCGTTTTCTAAAACAAAATTCAGCTAAATTATTTTGTATACATTATATACACTGGCCGGCAATACTAATCGATCCATCACTCAATATTTTTAATATTAAACCCATATCCCATATTTTCTAAACATAATATATCGCATGACTAAAAAAACATTGTGGTGCATTTGTCTATTTACCGTTTAAAAATGATACATTCCTTAGATACATTCCAATAGCCCAAAAAAATAGATATTTATGGTACTTATCCCGTTACTTCTTGCCAAAAACAAAAAAAAACACGAATGTTCTATAATTGTATGTTCACGTCAAAACAAATTAGCATGACTAATATCAGTTATGATATGTTTAAAGCGACTTTTGATTTTAACGGCCTACTAAGCTATAAAAAAAATTAAAACGATTGCATTAAAAATAGACTTTCTTTTAAAAATCTGACTTTGGGTCTTTATAAAAAAGTCTTTGTATAATATTTTTAAAAAGCAATTATGTTTTTACGTATTTGAATATGTTCCTAATAAAGGAACAGTGGCAAATTTTACATTTCCAATAATGATTTATTGCAACCTAGTTAGGGCATTGGGCCCACAGTGCGGCAGTGCGGAGTTCGCTATATTGATTTTTATTGATTAGAACATCGACCTTCACTGAAGGTCGATGGATTAGAATAAAAAGGCTTTTGTTACCTTTATTTTTATGTACCACCTCTTTCAAGAATTTTGTTATTCAAATATGTTACTAAAATTAATCCTGACTATTTGAGTAAGATAATGCCCCATTACTAAATTATTAAAGATTTTTAAGGCGAATTTTTATACAAATTAATAACGCTAAAACTTTTGTTTAAACATCTAACGTTTTACATAAATGTGGTTGCCTTTCTGCTTATGTGCTATTGTCTATTACCTGTCGTATGCTATCCATTTTACACTACAGTATACCTATCCATTTTACACTACATTTTTAAGATCATGCCTAGTTAATTACTTAAAATTAATGAAATATTATTTCCTTACCCAAAAATGTGTCTAGTAAACATTCTAAGCCCCAATTTTTAAGTTTCTCCTTCATTATTTTTATGTACACACGCTACCACCATAGAACACAGGACAGAACTGAACACAGAAACTGCGTCTTTTCTTTTAGCGAAGCGGTCTTAGAGGGTGGACGGTATTTACTTAAGCGAAGAATTAGGTATTTGTTTTAATAATAGCTATACCTAAATACAGTATAGTGTATTCTTTGTTCTAGAGGTCTTATACTTAAATTGAAGTATAAGCGTTCTTGTATTAAATATACATATATTTAAATAAAGTATACCGAAATTTCATACAAATATACAGAATACTTAAAATAAGAGGCAATATTCAGCTTTGAGTAAAAAACTAGAGCTCTTTCATCTAAGCATTATTGTATATTTGATTTAAGTATACCAGGCCCGTAGCCAGAAATTTGGTTTGGGGGGGGGCCAAAACGTAGTAATAATTTTTTGGGTGGTAGGGGGGGCGAAAATGGTTGATGGATAAATACCAGTAAAGCGTGAAGTTGTCATAAAAAATATGGCTTGTAATCGATAGACATATTTTTAAAACATAATTCACATATTTAGGAAAATTTTAAGGTTCACGGAATTTCGGGGGGGGCCCGGGCCCGTCGGGCCCTACGGCTGGCTACGGGCCTGAAGTATACCAATTTTCTTTAAAATAAAATACCTTTAAACTCAATCCAAGAATACTCATCTCAAATCAAGTAACCGTTTTTCTTAAAAATTAAGTATATCCCATTACTTAGTTTAAATGTACGCTAATCTCATAGAAATAATAAATATACTTAAATCAAGTTCCTAACATGAAGTATAGAACTATTCTTAAACCTAGTAAGGGACTTTTTTCCGTGTAGTTTGTTACCAAAAATCTTACTCTATATAAAAGCAATAAAAACATTTTCATATAATACCGGCTTAGAGTTAAAATATATTTTAAATTCATGTTTTCCAAAAATCACTATTTTCATCCATTTCATGGTTTAAAAAGGCTATGTTTGAGTGAGTCGATTTAAACCAATTTATGCTTATCATCACAGGCACTTATTAGTCTCCAATAACCATGAACAAAATTATTGTGTATTTTTCTTTTAGCTGGGCTGTGGATATATATGTCCACCTTTGACTAAATCCATATATTAACCATATATTTAGAAAAAGCGTTAAAATAACTCGACTTCTCATTCATTCTGTATAAAAATATAAAATATAAAAACAACATACAGTGGCGTCGAAAATTAACTACCCATTTATTTATTTTTTAAATTAAGAAAACATAATCTAATTTACAAAAAATTAATTAAATAAATAAAAGACTAATAAATATTTTTTATGGCATTTTCCATTAATTAATTTTTCAACGGTTATCCATTTTTGGACACTTCAAACTATTTGGCACTTTTAAATAACAGAAATTGGTGTGTAAACTGTTTTTAGAAAATTATGCACAATTTAATTTTTTATTATTTCAGTTTTTGTTTATTTACAAATGGTAAAAAATTGGTATGTTTACACTAAGTAGGTTAGTTTTTATAAATATGTACAAAATTCAAAATCTTAAAAATATTTTAATTATTAAAACAAAATCTTACAAATTAATTATATTAAATATATATTTAATAAAAAACTCGGTAGACTTGAATAAGTTCTACCTAATTTGCAAGAGAAAATTTTCTCTTGCAAATTAGGTAGAACTTATTCAAGTCTTGCTACCGAGTTTTTTATTAAATATATATTTAATATAATATTATGAATTTATATTAATATAATCCACATTATAATAATAAAATTAATAATATTATAATCCATATTATGGATTTAGTCAGGCATATTGTGTATTTTGCTTATAGCTGGGCTGTAGATGATACAGCCACAGCCCAGCTAAAAGCAAAATACACAATAATTTTATTAATGGTTATTGGAGGCTAATGTGATGATAAGCATAAATTGGTTTAAATCGACTCACTCAAACATAGCCTTTTTAAACCATGAATTGGCTGAAAATAGTGACTTTTCTAAAACATGAATTTTTATTATATTTTTTTGGACTCTTAGCCAATATTATTTGAAATTGTTTTCATTGCTTTTATATAGAGTAAGATCTTTGGTAACAAACTTCATTAAACAATTTTCCTGGCAAGTTGTTCTAAGAATATATGAATTTATAAAAATAGACAATTTTGCCAAAAAATTTAAAAAAAATTCCCAAAGACCATTTAGGGCATCAATAACTTAATTTGTCCTTTATGGTTTAAAAGAGAAATATGTTCTTAACAATTAACAGTTTGTTTAATGTCGATAGCTTTATTAGCAAGAAGTACAATTTTTTTAAGTTAAGGTCTGCTTAGCCCTGTACAAATAGGTGAAGGGCGGAGAAAAAAAAGGTGAGTTTTTTTACTTCTGGGTCCTTATCTATTTAAAGTTAAAAAAGAAATATAATTATAGGATATAAGGTGCACTTAGGGTTGGGAAAATTTCACTTTTGGCTTGTTCTTGAAATTTCACTTGAAATTTTCATGACATTTATGAAATTAATTAAAATTTCCTAAATTTCTGAAATTTCATGAAATTTATGAAATTTATTAAAACTTTCAATAAATTTCAATCACTTTAAGTGTAATATATTAATATTGAAATAAGCCCACTCGGGGACCATGGCAAATTGCCTCTCTTACCTCCTACCCCTCTGTGGGCCACAGCACCAATAATATAAATAGTAAATACCTATGTTTACCACAAATTTCTTGAGATTTCCTTTTAAAATATTTTTAAAATTACTATAGTAAAACTAAAAGAGATATAGCACTTTTTGGTAAGCAAATGAGATTGTGCCACTTTCATTGTTTTATATTTATATATATTTATTATTTTTAAATATTTTACTGAAATTTTACCAAAATTGAAGAAACTTCATCAAAATTTTATTAGCCAAATGCATTTTTTATCCGTTTTCCGATGCAATTATAGCAAAAGTAAAAGTTTAAATTAATCATGACTTTTAAAAAAAGTCTGATTTAATTTACAAATTAAATTGGTAACGTAATTATTTAAATTAATTTATGCATATAAGTAACAATAATTACTTAGTGTATTCAAATCCAAGCCGGACTAAACAAAAACGCCTAGACTCGTTCTTATTGGTCGATTGGGAATCTGTTGTAAATTATTATTAAAGGTCCCAGGGGAGGCCGCATGTGAAATTTATGCGAAATTTTCAGTAAATTGCGAAACTTTCAATGAAATTTCTGAAAATTTCATAGGCAATGTTGAAATTTTCGGATTGAAAATTCCATTTGAAATTTTTAAAAATTTCACTTTTCCAACTAAATGAAATATTTCAAGTTTGAAACTTTCAAAGTTGAAATTTTCATTTGAAAATTTCAACTGTCCCAACCCTAGGTGCACTCATTGGTGGCTAATAAACGGAATTACCCATCCTTTAGTCTGAAGTTTAAACTTTACTTCTTTTATAACTTGGTGATCAAAATAATATAGATTTTCGGTAGTACGTGTTGTTAATAAATTATTTTTTTTTGGTTTACTTTCGTATCACATTAACTTTTATACAGGGTTGTAATACAAATATTTGCATTTTAGGGGGCGACTTCGGACATGGTTAGGGTCTATAAAAAAACGTTGGGGAGCAATGTTTACAGAAACTATACGGAGGACAATATTTTTTAATTTACTAGTATTATTTAATTCTGAAGATCAAAACAATAATACGTACCTATAGGTATAAGAAGAAATATATTTGTTTTATTGTTTTGATCCTCAGAATTAAATTTTATTTTATATTTTAATGAGTTTTTACCTTAATAATTATTTCATGCTTTTTTTCCTAGTTGCATGCTTTATACTTTTTTTAAAGCAATATTTTTGTCACCCCTGAATGTGCTAGCTTCGATTATATGCATTTTACAACGCTTGTACGAAATCGCCCCACCTTAAAGGGTGACTTCGGACAGACTTTGACAAAAAAGTAGTATTAGTATTTTTATTACTATTATTATTTTTACGTTAACATTACCGATACAAAATTTTAAAAAACCTCAAAAATCGTCCGAAGTCACGTTACTACTGTATTACTTACTTTTGCTTAGTATAGAACTTAAATATACTCATAAAAAGATTGTTATGTTGTTAATTTTATTGCAGATAAAATACCGGATGCCCTTGAAGACGGTTGTGCAAAATGTAGCGAGACCCAAATACTGGCTTTCAAAAAAATTATACAACATTTGTTAAAAAATCGGCCAAACTGGTTAGAAGATCTTTTAAAGAAATTTGATCCATCCGGACAATATAAAAAGAGATATAAATTATTTTTTTCCATTGTTAATTAGGTATAATTATCTTTACTATTGTTATGTAACTCTTAATGTAACTTTTAAAGGTTATTAATAATTTACTACTAATATAAGCCATCATCTTTACCAGCTTTTGAAGGTGACTTAAAAATTAATATTTATAATGTATTTGGAAGATTTTAATGAATATAAAATTATTTATCTTTTATAATGTATTACTTTATAGGTGTTGCTGGGTTGAGCATTTGGGTAAATATAAATATGTCAATTTTAAATTTTTAAAATTTGTATTTTTTCATAAAAATCGTGTTTTAAAAAAAATCCAAATAATGCCAAGTTACCTATCAATTAGTATATTGTGGAATCTTCTCTTTCGACCATTGATCTATATTTAGCTACCGCAAGGAATATAAAGCCAATTTTATTTGATATTTTATCTGACATCTGAATTCAACCTGTTGGCGAAGTAAAATTTTACCTACAGATAAAAGTTAATAAATAAACAGTTAAGGAATTCATTATTTCACCCACCCTCTGTAGGGCGACGAAGTAACATATTTCTTGCCGGTTTTAAGTTGTTAAAGTTTGACTAATTTAAGATAAGTCACCATCTTTGACTGTTTCTGAGTAATAAGTAACTAATTTTTATAATCGTTTTTAATTCTTGCGGCCAATAAATGTTATAGTTAAATGCAGCATGGCCCTTAAAAACCAACAAAGATGCAAAAAGTTAAGCTCAAAACAGCAACAAAAATAGATATTTAGCTTTAAAATATTATTAACAATATATATATATTTATCCGCTTGACAAGCGACAGACCTAAGTTAAAACCCTGGCTGCCTCAATACCTACTTTTTTAAATTTAAATCTACTAATTTCATTCAGTAGAATATGACTGCTAGTGACTGCTTTTTCGCTATGACAATTAGTCAAATATGAATTATAATTAGTTATTTTTGACTAATTTATTTAAGAGAGCAGTTAAATCTAGTTTACTGCCGGCTATACCAGAAGGTCAGAACAGCGTGCATATAAAATTTTTAAATATTGGCGTTAAGAAACTATTTAATACTTTTCTATTTTTATATTGAGATAATAAAATAATTTTTACATTTAATATTATTTTAAAAGAAAGGCACTTTATTTTAACGATTGTATGACATTGACAACTGTCAACTAACTTAAAACTAAATCTGTTGTTAAAAGTGTTGTTAAAATGTTTATTTAGAATTTCAATGGGCGTTTTAAAGTTGGGAGTGGAAAAATTAATTTATTTCATCAATTTACTTTAATAATCACTATTGAGGTCGGAAATAGCAAAATCAGACTTTGCAAAAATAAATAACATTTTTTATACATTAAATTTTAATAATTTGTTTGTATACCCTTTCCTCAAGGGGCGAGCTACCGCGGTATCAGCCGTATCAAAGATACGATTTTGGAGCTCGTGGCCGCCAGCGACAGTTCTTACAATTTTTCACTGCTAACCAAAACAATTCGTTCGCGTATTGTCATGACATTATTGGTTTGATGGCGGCCATGAATTACACAAACAAACCGAAAGAGTGGTGCTTGTTTATCGACGGTTCGAAAAGCAGCCCTAAAGCCGTGTTGCTGTTTGTCGACAACACAAAAAATTCCGTTCCAGTCGCGCTTTCCGCTTTCCATATGGAAAAAGTTCTCCTTTAAAAAGATCGGTGTGTACTACATGTCTTTGAAGGTGTATTTTCTATATAATCACCAAAATCACTTCGATCAGCAATTGCCGACTAATTCGGACGAGCATGGTGAAAAATTTCACCAGGGTTCCGCCCAGCTGAAGCACTGGTATAGTGGAAAAAATTAAACTCACTTTTGGCTGACCTTTGCTGGAATTTACAAATGGAAATGGAGAAAGATTGATATTCTATAACTTTTTTCTTTGGTTTATGTAATCCTGTGATGTACTACAATTTTTTGTATTTATTTTTGTCTAGAAAAATTTCTAGCAACTTTTTTACTGTTGGTAACTGAGCCTACGTTACGGAGGTAATCATAGAGAAAGTTTCTTTATAGAGGAAATAAGAAGATTATATTATTATACTACAAACTATCGGTAACATGTTAACAGCTATTTAGTGAAAACATTATCAAGTGCTGATTAACAGTTTGCACCGAGCGGCGCGCCGTTTCTGAAATTCAAATATGAACATAGGTTCTTAAAAATTGTTTTATTATTTAATTAACATCTTATCCTTTCCGTATCAAATACTTAATACTGTCGAAAATCGTCTCCCGCGGAATCACATTAATGTGAATTGTTTGCAAAAGCATGCAATTGCATACAATTCAGTCTTTAAATTATCGCAATAGGAGCTTCTCTTTGTTATGGATCCGATAGATCTTTTCTTTTTCATCAAAGTGAAATTACCACTTAGTGGAAGGCATTTTAACCAAATTAAATTTAAAAAACTATAATCAGAGCACTCTTGAGCACGTATACATAAACAGCGGCTGTAAACATTAGGGTGTCCGTTATTTACCAACTTGTTTTTTTTAAGTGCCCCCTAATTTTTTAGTTTATGACCTAAAAAACTTTATCACAAAGACGATAAATTTTCCACTTAAATAAAATGGGGTTTCAGCATGTTTCACATTTAATTTTTTTCCTTTTGAGCAGGATAATATATAGCCATGAAAGACACATATTTTTATAGGAAATTGAACGCTGTACAAAGTCTTAAGGTTAAAGTTGAACTTATAGTAATTTTTTAGATTTTCTTACTTTGACTGCAAAATTATCAAAATTTTTATGAAAATAAAATGTTTATTTTTTAAAAAATGTGATTTTATTGTATTATTGAAAAAGTAAAAATTATTGAAAAGAGATAAGTGAAAATTATTGATAAGAGATTTTAAATTATTGATAAGAAATTGTAAGGTAGAACCTGGTATAGGTAACACTATGAGGGATATTAATTTTGCCTATATGAATGTAAGATCACTTACTAATAGCTTTTCCGACTTTAAAACTTTTGTTTTAAGGGAAGGTTATGATATTATAGGTATTTCCGAAACTTGGCTATCAAATAATGTTCCGGATAATGTTGTACAGATAGATGGTTTTAATCTGGTAAGAAAGGATAGAGGATAAGAGGGGGTGGAGTTGGCTTTTACTTGAGGAATAATTTAAGGTGTTGTGTGCTCAGCGTCAACTCTGGCGATTGTTTAGAACAGTTATGGGTAAGTTTAAATGTTAATAACGCTTCTTGTGCCTTTAGAGTTATATATAGACCCCCTTCTAAGAGTGTTTCCGAATTTCATGAGATATTTGAGTACACCTTATCTGGGCTTCTCCCAGTGTATGGCGAAATTTTTTGTGGAGGTGATATTAATAAGAATAAGAATAAGAATAAGTATATTAACCTTCAAAATTTACAAGGTACGTCATACAAAAGGAAAATTTTAAGTATCTAATGATAATACGAACAAGACTTATTAAATATGAAATATAAAATAAAACAAACAGTTTAAAATTTTAAAACATGATAAACAATGTAAAAAATTGTAAATATAAATAATATAAAAACTTACACAGGTAATTTTAGAAACACAACATATTTACATACTGACATGGTACATACACTAAATACACTAAATACATAAAAATTGGGCTAAAAGGATAAGTCTAAAAATTCTTGATAATCATATATGATGTTATCTATAAAAATATTATTAAGAGTAGTTTTAAACTGCTTAAACGGTTTGCTTTTTAAATCATTAGGTAGCAAGTTGAAAAATGATACTCCTAGTGTTAGTGTGATCTTCATAGTTTTTAATATTTTTATAGACATACACGAGACAGGCAAGTATATAAATTGCTGGCATGGTAAGTATTTTGTACTTTTTAAAGAGAGGTCGACATGACGTTTGTCGACTTACTCTGGCAATAGCTCGTAGAGCTCTTTTTTGTTGTAGGAGTATTTTGTCTGCTTCAGGAGATCCGCCCCATAGTAGAATACCATAAGACATCTTGCTGTGGAAGTGGGCATAGTAGGTAGTGATTGCTGCATGTTCGTTAACGATGTTTCGTATCCTTCTCACACAGTAGATTGCGGATGAGAGTTTTTTGGACAATTCATCAATGTGAATCGACCAGGTAAGTTTATTGTCTACGTTGACCCCTAAGATTTTAACATGCTCCTTTTCTGTTGGTTTAGTGGTACACACAATTTTTTGTGTCTTTTCAACATTCAGTTGGAGTCCATTTGCTTCGAACCAATGATGAGCTTCCTTTATGGATTGGTTTATTTGGGCTAGGTTTATAAGCGTCGTGTCATCTGCGTAAATGCATATTTTGGATGATTTTACGTTCCAAGGTAAGTCGTTAATATATAAGATAAACAACAAAGGCCCTAGAATGGACCCCTGAGGTACTCCAATTGTATTTATCCGTGTATCTGAGAAATTTCCGTTCCAAAATACTACTTGTTTTCTATTGGACAAGTACGAAGACAATATATTGTTTGCTACTCCTCTAACACCATAATAAGACAGTTTTTTAATTAAGACCCCATGATTTATACAATCAAAAGCCTTACTTAAATCTAGACAAGCGATTTCAGGTTCTCTTTTTTTGTTTAAGCCATTGTGTATTTCTTGTACTATTTACACCATGGCTGTTATTGAGGATTTTCCTTTTTGAAAACCATGTTGGGATCTGTGGATAGATTTATTTTTTTCTAAAAATTTACAAAGGCGATTTTTTAAGAGAATTTCAAAAACTTTTGATAAAGCTGGGAGTATTGCTATAGGACGGTAGTTTTTACATGTATTTCGATCTTCTTTTTTATATACAGGAACAATTTTTGCAACTTTTAGCTTTTCAGGAAAAGTGCCCTGTTGAAAGCATTGATTTATTATATGGCTTAATGGTTCAGAAATTTCATGTATTATGTCTTTTAATAATTTAACAGACAAGCCATAAATATCCAGGGTATTTTTTGTTGTAAATTTTCTTACAGCATCCTGAATTTCGACTGGTGACGTATCATATAAAAACATAGAGTTGGACACATAATTGTTTGAATTTTTTTGAAGGTTTTCAGATAGGCAATGTGATATATTTCCAGACAATTCTCTCAC